AAAGCTTGGGTAGCGAACGGGATTAGAGACCCCGGTAGTCCATGCTGTAAACGATGAGTGCTAATATTTAGAATTTTTAGATATAATAGCTAACGCGTTAAGCACTCCGCCTGAAAAGTATGATCGCAAGATTGAAATTCAAAGGAATTGACGGGAGTCTACACAAGCGGTGGAGCATGTGGTTTAATTCGATAATACGCGCAGAACCTTACCAACTCTTGCTAATTTTTATATAAAAATTTTATATAAAAAACAGGCGTTGCATGGCTGTCGTCAGCTCGTGTTGTGAAATGTTTGGTTAAATCCTTTAACGAGCGCAACCCCTATCGTTAGTTGCTATTTTATTATACAAAATAAAAGTACTTTAACGAAAAAATTAATGATAGGTTAATGGAAGGTGGGGATGACGTCAAGTCTTCATGGCCCTTATGAGTTGGGCTACACACGTGCTACAATGATAATCACAATGAGAGGCAATAATGTTAAGTTGGAGCAAATCTTTAAAAATTATCTTAGTTCGGATTAAGGGCTGAAACTCGCCCTTATGAAGTTGGAATCGCTAGTAATCGCAGAACAGCATGTTGCGGTGAATATGTTACTGGACTTTGTACACACCGCCCGTCACATCGGGGAAGTTGGTTGTTTTTAAAATGATTTTTAATTATTTTATAATTTTTAAATAATTATTTAATTAAATTAATTTATAATTTTTATTAAATAAATTAAAATCCCTAAAAAGTGGTCAGTAACTTTGATGAAGTCGTAACAAGGTAGTCGTAGGGGAACCTGTGTCTGGAAGAGATCTTTAAACATTCTTAAATTAATTTAAAAATTTTAGGAAAATAGTTTAATTGGTAAAATCATAGTCTCCAAAATTATTGTTATGGGTTCAAATCCCATTTTTCCTGTTTTCATAAAATATTATAAATCAAAAAAATTTTTTAAAATCTGAAATTAATTAAATTCAAGTTATAAAAATAAAATTTTATTTAAAATACTTTTTAATCGAAGGGAATTTAAATTTAGATTTATAATATTTAAATTAGTACCGATATGATTTAAATGTTAAATATAATATAAATATTCGATCTTTAACATTTACATTTAATTTAAATCAATATAAATAAATTAAATCATAATTTATAATATTTCTAAAAATTCTATATTTTTAGACAATTGAAGCGTGGTAATTTATTATTGGTTTATTATTGGGCCTAAAGTCCCCAATATGGACCAATGATAAATCAACCTGAAATTGTGTGGTTCCCGAAAGGCGGGAACACTGTCGTATTTATTACGACTAAAATCTTCGTAATTAGTACGAATTAAAACCAAAATAAAAATCAGAGTTAAATTTACTTAATACCTAATACTTGAGCTTGAGTCTTCCTCAAGCGCACGTGTAAGCTAGTGACGGTACGTTCTAGCCCCGTTACATTCGCCTTCGACTGTGGAACGTTTAAGTTGCGTCCCCCTGATCGCGCTGAATTGGCGGGTCGCGCTGAATTGGCGAATCGCGTTGAGGTGGCGGATCGCGTTGTAGCGGCGGATCGCGCTGGAAGATCCTCAGAGATCGAAGGAGTGGTCCCTTGGATAGAACCCGATGGAGCTGGAGGAGAAGAGAGGTCCGCGGTTAGCGAACGCTTGGGAGGAGGATCCGACATCGGGGTAGACGAAGAGCGCTTGCACCCGGGAGATGCCGAGGTAACGGGCACGGAGTAACCCACTAGCGGTATTGGAAGTGATCCAGACGCTAGCTGGGCCAAGTGCGATCGAAGAGAGTCCCGATCACCGACGGCCCTATCACGCTCCATCTCGCGATCCGCGATCTCTCGACGTAGCTGGTCCAAGGCCACATCCTTGCGAGTACTTTCCCCGAGGTGATAGTCGTGATCAGTTTGAAGCTTATCCAGCCGAGTCTGAAGAGAAGCTTGCTAAAGCTGGAACCGTTCGGTCAGAACCTGTTCAACAACGGCCAACTCCCGTCGGTGTATTTCCTGTGTATGTTGAGTCGCCACATTAGCCTTAAACAGGGCGTATTTCAAGCTTGCAATTTCACGGGATTGATCTTCTCGCTGGCCCAATTCTTCCTCGAAAGTTTCGGCCTTGTGAATCGCATGCTGGTATTGTTTTTGAAGGCGTTGGTACCTATTTAAAACGTACTCGGTTAGAGGAGGCGCTACGTCCCGGAAGGATTGAAGTTCACGTTCCATCCAATCACCGCGCACCTCCTGCTCCCGCAACGCTTCCTCCAAAGAACAATAGCTGTCCACGATGGCAGTTTGAGCGTCCAAGCGATCATAGATCGCCGTAATAGAGGATGCCAAAGTTTGCCGATCCACCACCGGCGGTAACTCAATTCGCGTGGATGGGAGCAGAATTGGTGGTCCATCGGGCCGGCCTTGTTGGCACGAACTGGCTCGGATCCCGAAATGACCAATGTATTTATAGGAGGGACGGAGCTGGAATCATCTGAGCTGGAGAGGGCCACAGATTTGGAAGCCGAAGAAGATGGGAAAGAATCCATCGAGAAAGCCAGGACAATAAGATCAGGGACGATACACAGCTAGACCGACACCTTATGTCGACTACCGGTGCAGGGGACAATTGTGGAGAAGCGAAGGAGCAATATTTCGCAAAGTGTGGATCGCCCAATATTAAATGTGGTCCACATCTTGTAGATCGACCGCGATCTGCCATAGCGATCCGTGACCGCGATCCGTGACCGCGATCCGTCATAGCGATCCGTCGACCCCGATCCGCCATAGCGATCCGTGACCGCGATCCGTCATAGCGATCCGTGACCGCGATCTGCCATTGCGATCCGTGACCGCGATCTGCCATAGCGATCCGTGACCGCGATCTGTCATAGCGATCCGTGACCGCGATCTGCCATAGCGATCCGTGACCGCGATCCATTATATGTGGTCCGCACATTGAGATCTGATTTTTCCAAAAAGGGCAACACGTGGCAGTAGATTCTAGTCTACAGATAGGCAGAATCGTAGGTTTTGGTATGTGATTGGTTAACATTAAACAGAGTTCGATTTTACTTCGAAGACACGCAAGCTTCTCTTCCGGGTGGGATAACTTTGGCCCCCCGACGACTCAAGAGCATCTGCTACACCTCGACACAAGTGATATCCCTGGATTGTTTGGCTAGGGATTACAAGAATTCTCAAAACAAACAACTCCCCCTGCGATTGGACGCAGCACAACAAGAAAAGGACAAGGTACAAGATCGCGAGACGGCTCAAGTGGTCAGAAGATCAAGTATATCAAGTGGATCAAGTATCTACATTTTTGGACAAGGCGATCTCAAGAGATATCAGGATGACTCGGATAGATCACCTACAAGAACCCCTCGACCGCGTGCAAATTTCCGCACGGTCGACCCCCAACCTATCCCAAACAAAGTTAAGTTCAGCATCGACTCAAGTCCACCGAGAAGAGTGCTACCGTCCTACCGACGGGTACACAAGGTGAGGAAGGAAAGTTGCACGGAAACGAAGTACCCCCTCCGATAGTCGGTTGTCTGGACGCCAGTGGAGAGTTGGGATCACATCAGAAATTGTGTGAACCCCGCTCCACCACACGTGCTCCAGAAGTAAATCTGGAGTGTCAAAGTACGACGATTCGCTCATCCCAAACTCGGGCATCGGAAGGACTACAAAGTTCTGCCAGGTGTAACGGGTGTAACGGGGCTAAGACGTACCGTCACTAGCTTACACGTGCGCTCGAGGAAGGCTCAAGCCCAAGTATTAGGTATTAAGTAAATTTAACTCTGATTTTTATTTTGGTTTTAATTCGTACTAATTACGAAGATTTTAGTCGTAATTATTTCGACAGTGTTCCCGCCTTTCGGGAACCACACAATTTCAGGTTGATTCATCATTGGTCCATATTGGGACTTTAGGCCCCAATAATAAACCAAAATAAACCAATAATAAATTGCCTCGCTGTGCTCGCTATTCGGGCTCAGCACCTGCCTACATATGTAATTGTTTATTTGTGATAACTATGTGTGTAGTGTAGCCCATTACAATGATGTACTCAGTACAGCGTTATCGATTATCGAATCTTAATCGATAAGATACGGTATTCGGTTATACCGTATTCGGTAATACCGTATCTTCAACGCTCATATTTAATACCTCATTAAAGAGAAGTATCAATATGCATTATATGCAAAAGGAAACGTCACCCGTAAACTTTCGGAATGATGTTACAACCGTCGTGTAACCCCGTTACACACCTTTTTGGGGGAATGGCACACTAGGATGTTGTTTTTTGTTGTGGAGTGGGTGGAAAGGAAGAAGAGCAGTTTGACGCTTGTTTTGCACATGCACTTCCAGCCAATCAGAGTGCGCGCCTCTTTAATTAATTGTTTATCAGCTATGAAAGTTTATTCACGTATCCGATGCCATCTAGTAATCGAAATTTTCGTTGCCAACGGGAAATATCATTTAACAAAGGTTAGTCTGTATTAGATATGCCCTCTACCTAAACTTGGTCACAAATTGTATTTTACACTTGTTGATCCGATCCATTTAAGAGGTCGCACCGCGATCGTACTGCTGATCGTTGCGTGCACTGACTGCACAAGTCTGTGCTGTAAAAGCTTTGGTCCGATGGTCCTCGAAAATGATAATGGTGCTATAGAGCCGTTGCTAAGAAGCGGTCGCGTAAAGCTGCCATCTTCCGCGGCTAACGTAGCGTACGGTCGCAACTCGGGGGAGCAAATCGAGAGAGATGAGATCTACGAGACAAAAAGTCGACCTCTGCGGGAATCGTACATAAATCAGTTGGGTTACACGCCCCTCATTTTCAAGGTGAACAGAGAATATCCAAAAGTGGAGTGCTAAATGATAAAACGTAGGGCGCTGACTTTGTGATCGCTCGTGGCAGAAAGTGAAGAAGATTGGAAGTTTTATCACCTCGATGTCACCGATGCGTACCCAAAAGGTAGAATTTGGCAGCAAATTAGTCCCAGCTGTTGCTTTGCGCCGCTGTTAAACACTCATTGCTGTTTGTTGTGCATGCTACGGATCCAGCCTGATGATCGCGACCTGCTAAACGAATCCTCTCCGTATCATTCATCAATCATACCTTCGAAGGGCTCGATTCGCGGCTCAGTCTTTAATTTGGCTGGTGCTACGCTTGGCGCGGGGGCACTATCGCTACCGTATGCAGTTGCAGTGTCTGGCTTGGGATTTGCTGTAGCACAACTTGTGTTGGCAGCGGTGCTAACCGTGTACACGATACGACTGCTGATTCGCGCAGAGGATATTACCAAGTGCGAGAGTGATGCACTTTATCTACCTATGAATATGGTAACTAATCGAATAATTCATGCTTGCTTTCTTCTTCTGTCACAGATTAAAGTCGTACGAGGATTTGGCCATGCACTGTTTCGGCACGAAGGTGGTCTTCGAGCTTTGGTGCTGTTCGCGATGCCTCTATGGTTTCTCACCTCTGGGCTGTGTTTTGCTGTAGATGACGATCTTTGTGGAGGTGAATATCCTTATTTTCTGTTTTGGCATTTCGGTTGCATACCTTGTGACGCTAGGAGACATAACCACGCCGCTAGGCGAGCTTTGTTTTGGGCCGCAGAGCATATTTGCCCAGCGCTGGGTGCTCATGATGATATCATGTGGAACGATCATGCTTCCGCTATCTTTAATGAAGGACATTAGTAGTCTTCAGTTCTCGTCGATATTGGGTGTGCTCTCTATCATCTTCCTCGTTGTAGCGGTTGCCATTCGGTCAGTTATGTACGCTACTACCAATGGCATCCCAGAGGACGTCAGCTGGACAATCGACCTCAGTCGTGGCCCAGACTTTATGCTCAGCGTGCCCATTGTCATGTTTGCATTCACCTGCCAGGTAAAAAATCATCTTTTTGTTATTGCTTATAAGTAGTGCTTTAATTATCGTTCACTCTTCGTACCAGGTCAATGTTTTCTCAATTTACACGGAGCTTCAGCGCCCCTGCATTCGTCGAATGAACAAGGTGGTAGATCGTGCTACGATGATTTCTTTTCTGATCTATTTGTCTATCGGTGTGGTGGCATATTTGGCCTTTGGACCTCAGCTCGCGGACCCAAAGTACAAGGGCAATATTCTATTGAGCTTTCCGCTGAACGACACCTTGATAGCAATCAGCCGAGCTGCCATTACTTTCACCGTGGCCGTGGCCTTTCCGCTGAATATCTTCCCATGCCGCTTCACCATAGACATGATGTTTTTTTCCGCCGCGGAGGACTCGTGGCAGCGTCATGTGGCCGTAACGAGTAGTCTAGTGCTATTGGCGCTGTTGTTAGCCATCTTCTGTCCCAACATTAACGTGGTTTTTGGTATCATTGGCGGCACATGCTCCACCGTCGTCTGCTTCTGTTTCCCTGCCGCATTCATTTTGAAGCTCGAGGACGGCCCGCTGCTTGGTCCAAAAAAGATCGGCCCGGTATTACTGTTCATTGGTGCAATCGTTATTGGGTTCATGGGAACAAGTGTCACGGTTTGGTCTAATCTGCTCATGCTATCTGGATCTGCTTGAGATGTAGCTAGAATTATCAGGCGACTGTTTTTTAACAAAAATTAGCACTTCAACTTAGGTGTGGTGCACATAAATATTGCGCATTGGTGTAATCGTCAACCCACTCTCGTAGTCGAGAGAGTTTATCTTTCCTTTAGTAATCGGCATGAACATATCCAATGACGACGCAGCAGCAAGGGAGAAGAAAGTGACACATGCCTGTTTGTATTGCACTAACGTGAAAGCGCTACGCGATTTGCTGCCACCAAAGCGATGTGATTACGTACGTCGGTTCTCGATACTTGCTCTGTCTTCTTCTTAGCTACTGACTCTTGACATTTCTATTCCTCTCAATTTAATTGATGTCTTGATAGTGCCATAAATTTCGATGCCAATTCTGCACACTCAAGTTTCCGTTGCTTGGTGTACGCAAGGGGCTCCCGAAAAAGCTCAAGGGCAATTCGCACATCTGCATTCAGTGTTTTGGCAAGGTCTGGCAAGAAAATGAGGCTGCTGTCTCGTCCGACATTCTGAGGTGTGGGTGTAAAGACTCACATTGCATGAAGCACGCGTTCCTGCCGAACACTCAGGGAAAAGACCGTGAGTCCCGCGGTGCGAGCTTTATCGGGATCGAGCCAGTGCGCCGAAGATCAACGTTGGAGTCAGAGTTGATGATGAGTTTGAATCGACGTAGCTTCGAAATGGACTCTAGCCATCGAACGTCCATGCTAGAGTCTGAACGTCGCATGTCCATGATGGCTGGCGATCAGGTGTGGCCAAGGTGTGACTCTATTGATGATTCCCGAAGACTTTCGCTCGGCAATGACCTTGTCGAGCAACCAAAAATCTCAAAGGATCAGCACAGTGGGATTGCATACCGCATGGCGTCGTGTTTGGGCCTCATAGCAAGCGACATCCCTGACGGTACAAGCATGAACTTTGCAATTGATATGTGGATGTCACTCTTTGCAGCTTCCATTCTGCTGGTGATCGCACTGGCAGACGGGTTCACGCTTCATCAGCGCCTATGGTATTGCATCGCAACATATGGAATATTTATTACACTGCACCCTTGGATTCATGCGGATAGATTAAGCGGATATAGACCAAGAGTGACAGAAGAAACTGCGCAGTCTAATGTTGTAGCACTTCAGGCAGCTGCAAAAGTGAAGGCAACACGTCAGAAGTCCTCCGCAGTTCCAGGAAACGGACCTGTTTCACAAGAGTACAAAGCTCGGCTACAAGCGATAAAGAAACATTGCCGTACTACTTGAGTGATGAATGCCCTTGGAAGATTGAAAAGATATTTGAGGCTGTGCGATATTCAAGATCAAAGTGAATTCGCTTAATTTTGCGGCTAATTTCGTGGCGGATCTTGACAGCAAAAATGGCGGGTGGGATTAAAGTGAGGCGAACACGTAGTAATTGAGATGTTCGACAACAGAGACCTTGAGGGTAAGCGTTTGTCTGAATACTCACAAACCGGATCTTGGAGAGTTAATGGCTCGCGAGGCTTTAGTTTATACTGCAAACGAAAGCTCAATCAATTTTACAGCTCCGACGTGCCTATCGTCCAAAAGCGACTCATCATCTCTCTTGCTTCACTGCATAGAGAGCACAAGGTGCCTTCTTGCTGACATGCATTTGCAAACTGACACAGGCGGACACCTTTCTGTACAGCTTCTTTACAGCGGCACCGTGGACAACATGAAAAAGAATGACAAAGCAGGCGCAGCACGTGTTCTCGATACGAAGAAGTAGTGCAGTGCCCAAGCGATACGCATGTGCCCTCTGCCTGGAGGGGACACAACACGCTCGAATAAAACAAGTGCTGGACCTAAAGCACCAATGTTTACGCGAATTCAGCACTTGCTATAAGCGAGACTAGCACCAATAGATTGGCAATTTTAGTCAATATGTTTCCACGTGTCATTTCTCTGTAGTACCCACCCATGGGCTAACAAGCTGCAAATCGGCGTTCTCGTAGATCTCCCAATGGACGAAACCGTAAGTGACGTAGTTGCCATTACACGCGTGATAAAGTGGTACAACGGATCACTTCTCAGCGCTGTTCGAGCTGTTCGAGTTGTTCTGCAAGGTGGAGTCCACTAGTCTGTCCAGCATGTACATAAAGGCTGGGTTTTCTTTGACCCAAATGATAAACTTGGTAGCTTGAGAGGGTGTAAGAATCTCTTGGAGCTCTGCCACCTGAGCCTCTAGCGCTGTGTTCTTTTCATCGGTCACGTCTTCTAGTTTCTTTACAATGCTCAAGGTGTGGTTTAGATCGTCACGCACATTTTTGATTGCAGCTCGGCGCTCCAAGATTTGCCGTTGCTGATTGCCTGACACTTTTAACTCGTCCGCCAATATACTCCAAAGACTCATTGTGGCTGTGGCTGAATCAGGCGCAGACATCGGGTCCTCTTTGATAACATGATCACGCTGGAGCATATCCACACCTTGTTCCACAGAGTACAAACTTAGCTTTGTAACTTGCGTAGGAAGAAGTAACTCCCGAATGCGCGATAAATGAAAGTGCAGCTTTTCGCGTCGTTTTGGCCCATAGTCCGAGTATGTCACCTTGTACATGTTCAGAAACTGTGCGATCTCTTGCTCATTCGCATTCCGCTGTAGCATCTCCCGCATCTGCTCCTTAATCTGTTGCTTCTCACGCTGCTCGCTTAGGATTGCCTCCTTACCGATTTTCAGACGCATCTTTAGATCCATATTTTCTGCCTCAAGTCGACGTAGGCGCGCCTCATTTTGCTCCTGCTGCTTCATCTTGCGCTTGCGGAACTCTCTTACCGACACAAGGTTTTTGACACGGCGAAGCTGCTTTTTTTCGAGATCGTCGTCGGGGTCAGAATCTGCTGTAAAAGACGACACTTGATCGCTCTTCTGCCGCTTTAGTGTTCGCTTGCTTTTTGAAGCTCGCGTAGCGTTTGTTTCGGTCTTACCTTTCATACTTCGAATGCTTGTCTTAACCCTTTCTTTCAGAGCAGTACTACCTGCTCGCTTTTTCCCATCTTTAGACACCGTCAACTGACATGTTGTTTGCTTTCCAATGTCTTGCTTCTGTTCCCATAATTTCTCATCCTGGTCGTCCTCCAATTCTTTATAGCTCCCATCCATACTCAAATTATCATGGCTAAGAGGATTTACGTTAGACGGTATCGATACCAAATTTGCGATCGGCCTAGAGGACGAAGCGCGCAGGCCTTCGCATCGTTGCGCCGCTAGCATTCGAGTATTTGACTGCACTGTGCTCGTCGTATGGGAACCACCCGGGCCCCTAGCCGTCACTGTTGCAGTACATGCACCAACTGCCTGGCTTGTAGTTACTTGTTGCTCTGGACCGAGCGCGGACACCATCATGTGGTCCATCACGACGTCGTCTAGAGACAGAATATCCAGGTTCTCCGCAGTATTGCTAGCTACCTCGGCGTTCAAAACGCCGGACTTAGACGCGTTGTTACGCAGCAGCCAACCGAAAGCGTCCTCTTCGCTGTCTTTAAAAATGCTCCAATCAACGCCACTTATGGCTGTGAAGCTCGAGCAATTGCGCCCGTCGCTTGTGTCTGGGTGGTCGCCCATGGTGACAATAAAATTAATTGTTGCAAGAATATAGACTCTTGCCACCGGACGACGAGTGTAAACACGCCACCAAAACAACTGCAATCTTCTGAATGCTGGTACATGTACAGTGCTTCAGATATCGATCGTTAGGTATACTTCAGGGAATGGTGAAATCAGTTTCGTGGTAGGCGGTACTTAACATTAAATATTTTTCGTCCGGTGACTGATCCTGAACGAACTATGCCTCTTGCTGCGGTCTACGAATCCATTAATACCATGGCTAGCTCTGCGCCAGGTGGGAAGAATGACAGTGGCAAGAAAGCAGTGCGTCATATCGAAAACCTACCACTGCTTTTGACCTCCGGCTCACTCGAGTCTTTGTCAACAGAAGGAAAATGGCTCCCGCAATTCATGCGCCAGGCAATCGTTCGTAGCATTTCCAATCGCATTGCTGGACTCCTACTAGTGGGGACGTCAGCTTTTCTTGTAAGCTGCACAACGACACTGGCGAAAGACAACACCATCAAGTTGACATCCGTGGAATTATTGTTCTGGCGCTCGCTCGTGTCCTGGCTACTCACGCTCGTAAGGTCTTGACTCGCTGAAACTGTAGGGCAGCTGCGTAATTCATTTTTGGTGCTTGTTTACAAGGTTGCGATCGCGGCTACTGGCACTGGAATGCGCGTGAAAAAAGAGTTTTATCGCCCGCTGGTTCTTCGATGTATCACGGGCTGCACCACCATGATCCTTACTATCATAGTGCTGCAAAATCTAGCGGTATCAAACGCTACCGTGATCACGTACTTCAGTCCGCTACTCGCGTTTGTCCTGGTGAGTCTATTGGGTTGATTAGTGTTTCGCGTACACTACCTAACGCGTTCCTCGTGCGTATATTAGGCTGCCATTTTTCTAAACGAAAAACCTGGAGTTTTCGAGGTAGGCTGTTCTATGGTCTGTGTTGTTGGAGCAGTGCTAGTCGTACGACCGGCGTTTCTCTTCGGCAAGAATGGATCGACGGACACCAGATGGTATCGACGGTCTATGTCAAGCTTCGTGACTTCAACTCTGTTCGGCGAGTGGTTGGCTATTGGGTGCGCCGTAGTTGTGGTATGCATGGAAGCGGGTGCTTACGTGTCCTTGCGCAGCTTGCAGAAGGTTCCTCACCTCGTGGTGATGCACTACTTTCTACTCGCGACAACACTTGTCTCGCTGGCTGCAATCTTCTGCTTGCAGCAGTATGGCAAGGCCAAGACGGGTGGCCTATCATTAGAGACATGGGGCGCGATCTTAGGCACAGGGGCACTAACTTTCACGGAGCAGCTTTTTCTCACGCGTGGATTCCAGTTCGACGGCGCTGGAGTGCTGGCAGCCACACGATTGCTGCACGTTGGATGCGAGTTTGTGTGGAGCGTGATCCTCCTGGGTACTGCACTGAACGCGTGGAGTGCAGGTGGAGCAGCCACGACTGCCGCCGGAGTGCTATTCTTGGCGCTGCATCGAGTGCATAATCATTGGGCGGTAAAACGCAATATGAGGCGAATGCTGGAGTAGCTGGCCAAAAGTTATATGTGAATGTATGCTGACATCATATCTGAAGGCCTTTGCTGAAAGAACAGTTGAGTTTTTTGGTACTTGTATTAAAACACATGTAAGCCTTTTATAACCCGATTGCATGAGTACTATATAGTTTAATGATACATGACATGCTTACTACTACCTAAGTTTGCTGTTAGCTAAAATTCGTAGCTTTATAATATGGTGAGCCCAAGAGTATCATCAGTAATAATCTGGACCATGGTTGACAAGCAAACGGATGCATAAAATTCCATCGACATCCACATAGCGAATAAACCGCCGAATTAATTCTTCTGTTTCAAGCGGCAGCTTGCATAGGAATTCGTCCTCAACAATATTTTGAAGGCGCAATGAACGCAAGAACGACGCTAGTAAGAAGTTATAGACAACGACTCCGAGCACAAGCTCTTGTAACATGTACAGCTTGGGCTGTTATGTACCAAACAGTATTTTGTTGGTGGCGTTTTGTGCGTGTGTTTTTTTACACATTCTTTCCGGTATAAGTTGTTTGACAATGGGGGATAAATATTAATTGAGTTTTTCTGGCAAACTACTTTCTATAATATTGCATTTACAGATTAATACTACATAAAAATTAACGTTAACCTAAACTGTAATAGTACCCCCGTTTCCGGAATTAAATGAAGGAGAATGCGTTTCTGCATCATTTTCTGCAATTGTCAAAAGGAATTCATGGCGGTACATTTATCGTGGTCGAGACAGCAGGTATCGGGGGATCTTGGACGGCAATGGAAAGTGACAAAGGCTGCTAAACTTAAGCAATGGGTAAAACACGGGCGGTTTGACAATGAGACTGAAGGTCACAGAAGGAGAAGTCTACAGCAAAATGACATGGTAAGATCTATTAGTGATTTGAGCGGTAGCAATCACCACTGACGTTTGGTGTACGATTGTTGCATCAGCAATATTCAATAATGCAAAAGAAACAATTAAATGAGCCGCGTCAGTCAGACCTTGCTTACATTTGCTTCTGGCAAAGTCGACGACCTGAGGTGGTGGCTGCCAACCCTTGCTCACGGCTTCGCTCGTTTCCAAGGAAGTGGGGAGGCAATGGAGAGCTTTATTGGATCGTGAACGCAAATTTTGGGAGGACCAGGATGCCAAAGACAAGCTTCGTTTTCAAGAAGAGATTGCGCTCTTTCAGCCGACCCTAGAGGTGGCTACGGAAATGTCGCCCAATCTAAGAAGTCCGCCTACGGACCCGTTTGCCCCCAGCCCTGCAAAGACAGGCTTCCAGTTATTTATGATCCATAACCAAGAGAGTTTTGCACTGCTAAGCATGACAATCAACGAGTTTAGCGCTGAAATGAGGCAGCTATGGAAGCGTCTGGGTGATGCTAATAGAAAGGCGTGGTATGAACTGGCTAAGCAGGACGAAAAACGATACGAGACTGAGATGGACACCTACGAGCCACCAGCCTGTATGAATTTGGCCGCCCGATGCGCGCATTGGCGTGTTGATGAGCTTAGAGATCTGGCTCGTGGAGATGCATTCGCACCACGGATGCTCTTAAATGCTATAATTGTGAAGAAGTTTGAAAGTATGCGAGCAATCGACATCGCTTGGAAGTCCTTGAGTGACGACGAGCGTGCACTATTCCAACTTAGGGCTGAAGAAGATGTGGAACGTTTCCGGAAGGAAATGGAGCCTTACTTATTGCAGCGAAATGATCACCGAACTGCTACTGCTCGTTCAGCGAAGAGACCGACGCGAAAGCGAAAGGAGCTCAAAGAACAAGGTCGTGTAGCTGTGCGTAAAAAGGTGAAAAAATCTGCAGTGAGGCGCAAGAAGCGGAAGTCTGCGCTCCCGCGACGGCCAAAGACGGCCTACAATATCATGTATATGTCCGAACGCACGGAGCTGCTTGCGACATATCAGATGTCGCACAACGAATGTTCGGCCCTCTGCGGTCGATTTTGGCGTCAAATGTCGGAAACGGAGCGAGAGCCATACAAACAAATGGCTGCTGACGATAAGCGTCGGTATGACGCCGAGCTAGAAATCTACAATGCGCATGTTGAGGAAGGTCAATTAGAGGCTGTTACATGATTCGACCGAATTTTTGCTACTTTCGAGAGAGAATGGGAGCATATATATATGGACAGAGCTGATATGGATTATGTCAGAATCCTATCAGCTCGTGTGGACTATGGCATGACAGCGCATAAATTTCCTTGGTAAAGAGAAGAAAATAGCACAGGTACAGCACACGGCAGAGCGAGCACAAGGAAAAAAATATTGTAAAAGACGAAATTGGCTGGATATTGTAACTCATGTGCGCTGCCGCTGTTCTAGCTGAGATTTTGCATGATGTCATCATGAAACTGTCGCTCCTTCATCGTGGATTCGCCGAGCTAGCTAGCTTTTGTCGAGAAACTTATCCATAGCTGTGATAATTGTTTACCACTTCCTCGCCAGATTAACCGTGAAGGCTACATCGAATTGGCTTACAAGTTAACGGACGGGAAGATGACTGAAACTGACGTCGTCCTTAAATACGCACGACTTTCATGCCTGATCTAAAACGTAGGTATATGTCACAAGATGTAAGAAGGTGAGACCCGGCAGCGACTATGAATAGTGAAAGCGCTCTAGTTGAAAGCTCGATAAAGCAAGCAAATCTTTTGGGTGGTTTCCACACTTAGATTTGGATTCAAGCCAGTGCCTCGGTAGTTTTGGGCGAAACTGCTCCGTGTGAGGCTTAAAGCCGTACTTAATGCCCGTGCATGCTGGGGACAGACTGTGAAACGATGTGTAACGAACCGAGGTACCCGCGGCGAAAATATCTTTATTCTTGGTAGCTTACTTCTCAAGTTGACGTCCGTCACCAACTGGAAATTCGACGCCCTGCTAACAACAGCACAGCTCTAGCAACTAAGTGAAGCGGATCTCTTCGATCGGATTGGACCATCAGCCACAGACAGCTCTTCCCCTAACAATACACGTAGTCGATGCTTCACGAACCAATCTCGTCCACATCTCTCATGTCTTTTTCTCCATCAGCCTCCGATAGCTCCTCGTCTGCGGGATTCAGTCCGACTTTGTTGCCACCGCGCGATATTGAGCTGCTAGATTATATTGATTGCAGCAATTCAGGTTCTCCAGCTTCTTTTGCCTCCCTAGTGTCGTCGGCGCCTGCAAATGAGATGATGTCACTTGCAACAGCAAAGCCGAAACCATCAGCTTCGTCATCCAACGCGACTCATCAGAAGGGGCAAACAGGTATGAACGGAGGCCGCTGGACGGAGCAAGAACACAAGAGCTTTCTTGCGGGCTTACGGCTGTACGGTCGTGAATGGAAAAAAGTGGCCGGCAAAATCGAAACGCGTACGTCTGCACAAATTCGCAGCCATGCACAGAAATACTTTGCTAGACTCGCACGGGACGACGAAATGCGTAAGCACTGCGGGCTGTCCATGGGAATACCTGGGTCTGTCGGTTATTTCAGCGATGGCGGCTCTTCCATCGCACAAAATAGTGGTGATGATGACGCCGATCCACCGGTCCTATCGCGACAAATGATGAGCGCGCGATCAAGAGGTGAAGCTAATGAAACGCCTGATATCGTTATTGCCCCAATGAGCTCGGAAGTAGACGACCAATACAAACCAACCGCCAAGACGACTAAAAAGCGATCACGCGCAACACAGGCAAGCTTTGACAGTCGAATGGGAATGAGCTCGCCTATCTCGACCTATCCATACAAGCTTCACAAACGAACAAATGATGCCACGCGAGTGGAACGTCTTCCGTCACAAGAAGAGCTGCTTGCAAAGGCGTCTCCCAATTTACGTCATCGATTGTCATGTCTTATTGAACCAGAGCTGTGTGCTCTTCAAGTTCTCTTGTCCTATGCTATGCTGCAGCAACAAGACCATGTTTCGGCACCATGCCAAAAAGCCAAGCGACAAAGTAGAACTCACAACCTAGCCACAGCGACCACTGCCGCCACAGGAAGCGCCACAGCGTCGTCACTTGGACTCTCGATGCTGTCCACAGAGCAGATTCGATCGGCTTCGTCGATTTATTGAAAGAAGCGGAGACCCTTACCTGTTGCATTGACTAAAGGAATATACAGTTAAGACATTAGTAATGAAGTATTGCGAGTCCATCCGAACACTGCACTTTCGTGTAATGTAACGTTCCTGCAACATCTAGGGATTCTTGCTGGACTTGACGACAATTACTAACAACATTGCTGCAGCAGCAGAGCAAGTACTACTAAAACGTGCACCATCATGTTGTCTCAGCCTTACATCAACGATACCGGTTGCACGAGCGCTTCTCCTTTTGTTGGTTTCGCTTCCATTGGAACTCTGCGCAGAGGCTTGGAATACGACATCATCATCGTAGAGAGCGTCGGCTTGGGTCAGTAACTGGACGTGGTCGATGATATCGATGAACATGGTCATACTGCTAGTCGCTACCCCCACTTGGGGCGCGACTTGCGAGGGAGATGACGGATATTGAGAATCGCTGACATCACCGTAGATGGCGTATCACCACGCTGTTTTGCCCGCATGTAATGTGCATATGATTTTGTAACGATCGTTAGTGTTTCTCACTGTAGACCTGAAAAACATACGCGATGGACTATATGCATGCAATGTATCTCATGCGGTGTAATGGCGCTGCTCCCTTGACGATAAATCTCACTTTGTCGATATCTTCATTTTTTCGACAGCATCATCGACGAGACAAAGTTGGTAACATATCCAATATAAATACGTCCCTGATAGCGCAAAACAAAAGTTAAGAAGAAAATTTTCCTTAGCAATGGCTCTCAATCCGAAACGACGATACGTTATCGTGTCGCAATGTTAAAATTGGAAAAGTACTACCAACAAGTCTTATACGCCGTTCCAAAGCGTAAACAAAGCAGGACGATCTCGTTCGTATGTTATGCCACACCGCTTAACGTGCCCACGATGTTGTATGACGCACGAGTGCAGGTCGTTCAAGAGGTTTTTAATATGCGTCTAATCCAATAATGAGAACCTTTGACGACGGATCTGCCAGTCAGATACGGCGGCAAACAAATATTCAAAGCGCGCCGAAAACATGCAAATCAGAGCTGCGGGATCCACAAGCGTATCGATAGCCAGCACCGCCTTTTGTGACCCTGTCCATTAAGGAATTGCTCTAACGTATCTACAAACATGGACTTGCCAGCACCAAGCGACTCAGCAACATCAAGTCGGACATCGAGTCCACAAGCACAAGCTCTTGAAGTCCGGCAGCAAAAGAAGACTCGCCTGCTTTTTATTTCTCCGTGCATCAAATCAGCTGCTATCGTGATCAATATTTATCCATTGTAAGTGTTACTCATGCAAAACATTCATTTATATTCTCTTCACAAAGGTGTCACGTACCCAACGGCCTGACGCATCTCTTGGCTTAGAGCCGGATTTGCGACTGGCTCTCGATTAAGTGCGATCATGTTTGAAACTGCAGGTTTTGGTTTTTTTTACTCGGTTATTATTCAATGTACCTGCATTTTGTATAAGTATTCAGTTGCATTTACAACCATTTCTCACTTGGTTACAGTATGATCTCTTTATCACCACAGTCACACTTTCAATTCAGCAATCTGTAACTCGAAGCCCAACGTTATAGCGAATTTTACGACAGTCTCCTTTCACACACGCATTGCCCTCCCTCGTAGGGCACCACTACATTTATTATGGGTCAAGCAGTGTCACATAATCACATGCCCAGTGGCGGAGATTTTTATGGAGCCCCTATCTACGCAACAAGTCTTAGCCACGATCGGCAGACGGAAGTTCGCGTGAGCAAAGACTCAGACACGGTACATATCGGTCCGCGTGCGCAGCTTCCGTACCTTGAGATGCCAAGTATGCGCAAACAAGACTTCTTTCGACGATTAGGTCTTGTGGTTAAAACCCGCGGCAATCGGATCACGCAGAACGCCGAGGTTGTGATAGCTGACTTCTACAGACTAGATGGCAAGCGATTGATACCACGAAACAATGGTCAGGGCCCACAGCCGACGAGTTGGCATGGACTTAAGGGTCCAGCTGAGGCCAGCTGCGGTCTACGCGTAGGGGACACGCTCTACGCTGTGAACCACCGACTGGTCATCAACAAATCCAAGGGGCAGGTGCTTCGACAGATCAACTCGCTGCTCGATAAGAATGACGGCGCTACTGTGGTTCTGACGTGGAAACACACGGATGAGATTGAGGTTGTGTCCTGGGAGAACGAACTGTGTATGCCACCGCCTGAGGGTGTCTACACACAAATGGAGAACGAATGGGGGCCCGCGCGACCAAGTAAAATTTCCTCTGTTTCGATCTAGTATCCGGGTTTGTGTTTCGTCCATACATGAGCGCGCGCTGTCCTCATAGAGGCATCTGCAGCACGAAGGACATGCTAATTTTACTTTTCCTTTTCTATACAACTACTACTGCCGTGCCAGTCCGCAAGAAGATATCAGCAGCCACGTAACGGGCTTGTCAATATACGCACATGATAACTATTACAATGTCGAAGACTCGTCGATCAGAATTTGATGATCGCGTTTTATGCCGTCACGGCCAGTGAACGGAAGCCACGGTACGACCAAGACTGCGTGCCACGCGCAAGCCACAGGACAACAACAGCAATGAAGAGAGAAGGACGTGGTCAACATGAGGTTCGGCAAGCAATTGTTTGGTCTTCTAGTTATTTAGTTTTGCATATGGTTTGGAAGGCATTTAGTCTCCGCCGACCATGGATAGCTGATCGCTGCTCCTTCCGCAGGAAGAGGGAGACCGTTGCTACCGCAACTGTGTAAAATATAACGACAACACGCTAAAGGAATGATGACCGATGTTTGTTTTTGTCGCGTTGACCAGCTGGGTACATTTCACAGCGTCGCACTGAAGTTCGTCGCAATTATAGTTTTCATTCTTCATGGCTGTCAACTGTTACCACTTCCACGTGATCAAGCGGGTCCCTTGTATTGAACGGACTACTGCCTAGTTATGCTGAGGCCGCACATATACCATCACGTACATTAGTTTGCTTTCTTCTTTCCAAATTTAATCCTCCATGGTCAGCACCTTCTTCAGTCGCTCAAAGGTACCGAACGTAATTCCTACCATTGGCACAACTTTCATGAGCTCCGGTGTTAGTCCGCGGTAAAATCCACTCACGCCCTGCGTACGAATTAAATCCGTTGCAATACCCGTGGCCGTCGGCCGTATACCTGCATTCTCTGCGTGGATGGCCGAGATTTGCAAGCGGCGGCGCACCACGTCGATGGGAAACGTCACTAATGACGAGACAATGCCGGCCGTACCACCGCACAGAAGCGTATCGGTAACGCTCAGCTGCATATCGCTATGCCTCTCCACAGCCTGTTCCCTTTCGACGGGTGTCAGTCCTGGAAGTGTCTGACTTCGACGTAACGACCGCGCATACTCCTTCAGCGATTCGTACAACGTAAAATTAATTGCCAGATTGGGAACTGTGACCATGAGCGTAGCGCCCATGCCACGGTAGAGCCCCATCATTCCTTCCTCGGCACTAATGCGCTGCACTGCATGGCGAATACCTGTGTAGCGTATGTCTGTGTTAAGCTGCGTCGCCAATCTCGTTCGAATGAGGTCGATTGGGTAGCACGCTACTGTCGCTGTTGCACCAGCCACCGCGCCTGATGCGAACATGGTGGTCCACGAGTGCTGGGTAAAGGTCGGATGTTTCTGCGCGATGATGCCATTCTTGATCATCTCAAACGTAAAGAAGTTCACTGCCGAGTATGGAAAGCGATGCAATACACTGGTGCCATTACCCTTCCAAAAGGCAAGTATACCTTCATTCTTAAGCACTTTAGTAAAGGCACTGCTCACAGTGGGTGAAAACCGATCAGTGTGTCTCGTGGATACCATGCTATGCACTTGAAAGAGAATCGTGAGGCGGCTGAGCGGTGCTGTGACTGTCTTGCCAACACTACCAGCCACACCTCCAGCAAATAATACACTACCATGACGCAGAAGCTGCTTGAGTGCGTCTTGATGCACCAGATCCACGTCGACGTCGTCTGTTTCCGTGCATAGATCGCCTGTATCGCCAAAGGTCACAACGCCCGTCGTGTGACGTCGCAGTGTCACGCGCATCTTGTGATCACAGTTTACGGGGTAGGGGAGTACTTGGTTGCCGCTACTATCTCCCTCCATATTACCGCGAGACATCCTAGATGAGGAATGAATACCCAGTATCCGATTGTTACAATTTGAGTGAAGTGGTGTACATCATCTTCCCTCGACCGAGTGACATCCGCTGTCAAGTTCCAAGATGGACATGCGGTCCAAGGTGTACCCGTCAATGCCGGAGGGCCAAGGACTACGTCTCGTACTGCCACGTACTAAAGACTTGCGTTATCGCTCACATATTCCAACATCTTTTATACAACGTCTCTATATCCATGCAGACCCACGACGACGTTTCTGGTACACACGTTTCCAACTTAAACGTAAATTTATCGTCATGTCCAAGCAGGGGGATCTCTACGTAAAGACGAGCGTTACCGTTTATACGATGGCCGATCTGCCCAAGAAAAACGTACTTAGTATGCCTCGCGTAGCATGTGGGGACCTCGTAAAGGTGCTGGACCTCGTACAGTGCTCGAGGAGTGAGGGTCAGTACTGGGAGCTCGTGCTAACACGCTGGCGGAACAATATGGAGACGTGGCTACCTCTAGAAGTGGTGCAGCTCTCTGCTTCCAATCTGCTTCAAGAATTTTATGTCAATAGTGTCAACTCGTGGGCCTTTCACGGCCGTATACACTTAGGGAGCCTCCAGACGTTTCAGACAGAAGTGGAGCTTTGGCTTTATCACCCCGAGTTTCAGGAATTGTACAAAAAACTTCGTCAGAGGCGCGTTGGAGACACTACAATACCGTCTACTTCACAGCAGCAGCCAGTGCAGGTGTCGAATCAGACGCGTGTTAAATCGGAAAGACCAGTAACATCTGTACATACCTCAGAAGCACCTTTATTACCACGTATGCCTCATGTAACACAAGTACCTGTCATCGTTCCAGTTCCAGCTCCAGTTTCAACAGAAAATGACCCGTCAGAAATAGTAATACAAGAATTTGAGCAACGAAGACTTGCAAGGGTACGTCAAGAGCAACTTGAACAAACCCTAGAGAAAATTAGGCAGATGAAATTGCAGCAAGAACTGCTGCAAGGACAACAACGAGCTAGAGAGCAGCTTGAGCAGCAACGAAAGCTAGAAGCCGAACGGCAACTTCAGCATGAGCGGCAACGAAAAAAAACGCATGAAGAGCTGCAAAAGAGCCAGAAAAAGTATCTGCAGCGACTTCGGATGCAGCAGGAGCGAGAAAAGGAGGCAGAACTGCAGCAGCATCAGCAAGAACAACTGCTCCGGGTGCAGAAACAAGAAGAACTGCAACGTAGACTGCAGCAAGCGAAGCCATTACAAGAACAAACACCTAGAGAGCGACGCTCACAAGAAAAAATGACAACAACGCAACTCCGGCACAAAGAAAATCGAAGTGATGCTATTCTTTCGCCCGGCTTGCATCGGCCAAGCAAAAGCAATTCCATCTCAATCTGGACCAAAGATGGTGATGACGAGTACGTTCCACCGAACGAAAGCAGTGAAAGTAATGATAGCCACTTCAGTGCCGATAGCGAGGCGAGTGAGGACAGCGTAAGTTATCGGTCTCGAAAGCGCCGTCGAAAGCGATTATTATACTCCCAAGTAGATCTCGATGACGAAGATGATGATGAGCTTCCTGATCTGTCACAGCCACGTCCTAGTAATCCTCAGCGAAATGAAATTCGAGAGACCCGCCAAGACGAACTGTACAGTGAAAAGTCTTTCCAGAAGATGGAGAAGCGGAAAAGGTTACGCAAGTCATTTCCGACCAAAGAGAACGGAGCGACTGGCAGCATCGTTGACGTTGACCTTACGCAACTTTCAGATGATGATGATGATGATAATGATGATGATGTTGATGGTGATAATGATGATGATGATGGTGATGATAATTGTCTTGAGGTACCGGTGACAGCTCCGCCTATGACACCAAATGATCATGATAAAAAAGAGAGCTGTGGCGACGACAATGTTGCTGCAGTTGTTGATGAAGATACTGATGATGATGACGACGAAGACTTTGAGCCTACGAAAATAGTTGGCAAAATTTTATGCGTATGCGGGGCTACATCAGTCGGAGGATACCGTGGACAATGGATGCAATGCTGGAACAAAGAATGTGGTGTTTGGGAGCACGCTGATTGTGTTGGACTTTTGACAAGTTCTGAAAACCAGCCATCACCGAGATATTTTTGTACTCGTTGCGATCCTGCAGCATACCTTGCACATCGTGTCAAAGCATCCCAACGAATTATGGATTGGTTGTTCCAGTGTTGCGACAGTAGAAACGTGAGGCAGTTGATGAAGTTGCTGGAAGACAACCCAGAAACTGTGAACATTCTTTCAGATTGGAAAAATGTACGTTTTGATAACAGGACGTTGGCTATGCACGTTGCGCGAAATGGTCTTGCCCAATGCTTGCAATATCTATTAGATGAGTGCAAAGTGGACATTTTTGCGACGGATCTGCAGAGTCGCAACGCACTACACCATGCGGCGCAAGGGGGCTCAGTTACTTGCTGTCGCGTTCTACTCAAGCATGATCAAACACTACTGCTACATCCAGATTTGCGTGGCTGCATGCCCTTTCACTGTATGCTGCAATCAGTGAAGGTCAACAAGCTGTGTATTCCTCTCATGCAGGAGAACACGGCGCTAGTTGGTATGGGAGATCTGGACTCCAACTTTCCGATCCACTACGCGTGCCAGGCTGTCAACCGCTACACAGTCAAAATCTGTCAGATCATCTTTGCTGCTCAAACATCGATGCTTCACGAGAAGTCCAGCGAAAATTTAGATGCTTTGATGATCTTATGCAAGTCGGCTGGTACTAGTACAGATTCGATTCGGAATAAGATAGGCAACGCGAGCGAAGTGGCTAAAAGTGCAAAGGACGTTATATCTTTGATGCTCGACATCGACGTGTTTGGGGACTGTTTAAACCAGAAAGCACCCAACGGATGGTGCCCACTTCATTTTGCAGCAGCATCGGGAAACCATGACCTTATTACACATATTTGCAACATTGCGCACTTTGATGTAAATCATGCCGCGAAAGCATCCGGTGAGACAGCGCTTCACATTGCGGCGCTACAGAATTGTTCGTTAGGTGTTCGTGCACTTTTGCTTGAGGGGTTAAATGTTACGGCAAAAGATAGTGAAGGACGGATTCCAATGCTATGCACGGAGGATGCCAAATGTATCCAAGAGTTTATGCATTACAAGCTAACAAAACAACTATCAAGGCTGCATCGAATGCTGGGCAAATATAAGCAGCGAGGGCTTGTCCGTCGATGGCAGCATCTCGTAGTACGTGACCCGACTTGCTTTGATATTCTGAATGATTGGTGTCAAAGGGATACTGAGCGGATCGAGCGGATGGAAGGGCTATTATTATCAAACCCGTTTCTACTTCGACTGGATAACAAGATGAAATATGTTCGGACAAACGTTGTTTCTTCTATCAAAAGGTCTTCTGGAATATACTCAGTCACCACTAAAAATGGTAAGACAGGTATTGAGAAACAATCAAAGGGACAGAAGAAACTCGCTTTTGTATTTTCGCATGGAAATGGATGTTTCTGGAAGCAGTTCGTTGGCATGGGAATGAGACTGGAGCCGGAAGATTTTCGCTTGCCACTAATTTTTTTCATCGATCAAGGTATTCAAAACCGAGACACCACTATGAGGCTGGTTTTGGCTCGTTTAGCGGAGGGGTTGGTTAAAGAGGTACCGGGATTACTAGTACGCGGGTCTACTCACGCCTCGGAACAATTTCGCTTATCTTCTGACAAGCAAGAGCTGGCTGGACAACTGCTAGGATTTTACTTGTTGGGAGAGCTCGTCGCGCACTTTGTCCTTTTTGCCGTCCGTTTAAACGGTAAACTAGACTTTAATCCAGCATTTTTGCGCTGCATTGGTTGCCAAGGGAAGTACAAATTGGGGCATGATGGGCCTTGGCATATTTCTGGTAGCACTTTTGTTGCGGGGTTTGAGGCTGTATTGCCTGCAACCCTTGTTCTCTTTCGTGCGGAAGATCTTCGTGTACTATTCAACGGTCCACAGACTAGTCTTAATGCTATGCAGATAGACTGGAACACTGCTATTGATTGGAAAATTTGCGGCACTAGAGCAATGTGTGACAAGGACACTGGTAGTGCGAAGGTGTGGTTGCCTCGCCTAATGAACGAGCTAGTTGAGGAAGAGCAGCAGCTTCTCTTATTGTTTATGACTGGCCCATTCCAGCTAATAAGTCGTCGTTTTGTTTGCTCTGGAAGCGACTCGGACCGCCTTACTGTCGCGTCTTTTCCCGAAACTGATGATCCGCTTGACTACGACACGATGCTTCCTCTTTTGGACGACAACCATAATCTTCTACGGCTTCCGTCGTACTCATGTTATGAAGCATTTAAAAAGGGGATGCTAACTGTGATTCGGCATGCTGACCACGCTTTTCTTTCGGAGTAGCAGAATTGCATGCAAGCGACTGGACTGTGCTGACAAAACCCTGAAGGATATACTCTTACGACAATGTGACAACTGGAATATCTGAGTTCGGCAAGACCTCGATGATTACTCACTTGCTCGAAAGTGAAAGAGTTTTGCACCAGCATAAATAAACACTATTTTCAGGGGTCATACACAATGATGAGAGACGGTTTGGGCCAATATTTATAAGACAGAGGACAGGATTGCACGACAGGTCTTTAAATTACTTGCAAGAGGCAATTGGGTTCCTTGCTAGTGCGAATGGCAGTTAGTGTCTAGTATCGTACATACAACTGAATAAAACTGATAGATTTCTAGTTTATTCATACGAACATTAGCATCGTGACCATTCGTTGCGCGTGCTTATGATTATTACAATGTTGAGCTTTGGCGACTACTCTCTATTACAGGAGTCCGTCATCAATGGCAGGAACACTTTAACGTTAACACCGCTGTAGGCCGGTCCTGATTGTATCCAGTCCGTTAGTGACATACAATGTAACGTGTTTACACAACTTGAAGTATTTGAACCATCACATCCATTGCATCCTGCGTACACCGCTTCGTCTTTACTTAAAACTTGCATATATAATGCAAGCTTTAATCTGCCTCAAGCTGCTATGTAAAGTATGGGTATCTGTCTACTAGTCTTCAGCCTCCCTTTTCTTCGTGCTGGTTTCGGTTTCGGCCTGCTCCGGCTCCTCCACGTTAGACTCCGACTCCTCCACGTTAGACTCCGGCTCCTCCACGTTAGACTCCGACTCCTCCACGTTAGGCTCTGGCAATTTGCCATCTCCTCCTGCAAATATATCAGCGAGCCGTGCATTCACATACACGTCGCCCTTGTCCGCAAGGTACTTGGCCAACGGAATCTACAACAACAACAACAACAACAACATCAGGACACGACACATTTTGCCATCATTTTCCAGTTTCTACACTCACGTGCTGTTTGAGGATGTCTCCGTTCTTATCCTGCAGCAGCTTAATAATAAGGTGGGAGTTAATCTGGATATCATTAGCCGCCTCTTTAGCAAGTGCTACTGCTTCGTTCCACTTGCCCTGTTTTCTGGCATTAAGCACACGGAACGTGTACATCTTATAGGTCACGGGCACGTGCTTCTTTTGCATGATCTGAACAATCTCGTCCACAACCTCTTGATTCTCTTGACGATCAAAATGTTCAGCCAGACGTACAAAACTCTGATTCTTCACGTAATGACGCACGTTCTCGGCCTGACGTAAGAACTCGAGTGCCACGTCTGCTGCGTCCAGTTTGATGCAGGCCGAGAAGAAGCTGCCGGTAGCAAAGTCCGAAGGATAGGCCATCTTGGCATCGCATAGCAATAGCGTCTTTTGCACTTGCAAGAGCTCGTCCTTTCCCTTCATCTCACGCACCACATGATCGATCTTGAGCGGCGTGAAGTATAAAGGTGCCGTGGGAATCGACAAGCGCACACCGATAGTCGTCAGTGCCTTTGTAATATCTGCTACACTTCCCTCAACCTTGGGATATTCTCGGTTTCCGCTAAAGGCACGCACTGCCTGCTTATATGCGGCTGGAGACACGCGCAGCACCAGCGAACGCACAGCCAGCATCGTCCAAGGTACGTACGTAGCTGCCAGTCAAGTGTCCGATAAAATACCGTACGCTTACCGGTTTTGATCCGGTTTGTCAAAAAGGGTACTTTTACCGATAGAGTACCGAATCCGCTCGGTTTCTTATGTTTGGCTAGCTAGTCACCAACAAGATTATATAGGATAATGACTGGAAGTATGCAGGCGTTTCGTAAGGTCATGTCGTTTAGCCGACGCCAGGGTGCACAACAGCTGGTAACGCACTCGCAGCATGCACGTCTTTCAACTACAAGTGTGCCAACACGTTCAGCTGAAGAATGGATGGAAAACATTAAACTATCAGCTAAAAAGGACGTGCTAATCAAGCGCACCAAGTTGGCGTCGTTCCTCAAGACGGTCACGACGAGTGAGCAGTTGGAGGCCTCAAAGGAGATTATGAAGATTTATGAGAAAAAGCGAGTTGACCCAGACGCCAACGCTGCCGGACTTTTCGTCAAGAAGGCGCTGGAGCTTGACGCGCCCGACGTGGCGTTTGATGTGCTGGAGGCGAACTACCGCATTGGTTTGTTCCTGGAGCCATCCACACTCAACAAACTGCTCTCCAAGTTCTTGAAGAATAAGGAGTTTGAAAAGGTCTTTACGCTGCACGAGATCGGTCATAGCAAGTACCAGGTCAAGAGCACGGAACGCACTTACGACATTCTCATTCGGGCGGCAATTGAACAGGCTGACTATGATAAAGCCGTGGCTTTCCTCAAGACAGCTGCGTACGTGATACATTTTGTGATGTAGATGCTTATTGGATGCAAGGTGTTTACAAGTTTTTGTTGATACAGGGAAGCGCAAAAGGTTCAGCGTGTGACGTGCAATAACCTGTTGTTTCAGCTCAAGAACAATGGAATGCAGGATAAGGTACGACGGCTTTCGCTGTAGCTTTTATGAGTTTCATTGGTGCTGACGCGTTGCTATTACTGCTACTACTGTTACTATCTGTTACTGCTATTACAATGCTGTCGCTGCAGATTGAGGAGGTGGCGGCGCTCATGAAGACGGCGGGCGTAGAGCCCAATGAGACGACAAAAAAGATCTTGCAATAAAGGGTCTGTTCCAGCCTACCAAGGAAGTCGCTAAGCCATTATTGCACATATAGCAGCACGAAATAAAAACAGGAAATATTGACAACCGACAAGTCCAGTTTGATTTTTGGACTATCATGCATAATGCACTAGCAACCGTCTGCAGTTTGATCCATTGCACCCAGCGCTTAATGTTTGGCCAGCTCGAGACGGAAGTAATCTGCAACTAAGTAGCTCAAAGAACTCGATCCTAGAGCACTCAATAGTGCAAGCATTTGCCGATGCTCACACGTGTGTGCACTGATTAGTAAGGTAAAGTATCCCGTCTATTTACTCGTTCGCGCGTTTGCTGCTTCTCTAAGCACCAAGTTTACTTGGTCTGGTTCTTGACACCAAGAATACGAGCACGGATTTCATCCTGGTCACCCAAGTAAAAGGCCCCCAGGGGTGCAATGGCGTCTTTGTGCGGAATAGGCTTAAGGTTCTCGTCCAGGTGATAGACTAGCGGAATGCCCGTGGGAATGTTGAGGCCCGTGATCTCGTTCTCCGAGATGTTATCCAGATGCTTCACGAGGGCGCGTAGACTGTTGCCGTGAGCGGCGACCACCACATTCTTGCCTGCCTTGATGCTGGGCACGATGGTGCTCTCCCACTCAGGCAGCACACGGGCGGCCGTAAGCTCGAGAGATTCAGCGAGGGGCAGGTGCTCCTTGGGTATGCCCTTGTACTTGACGTCGTTACCCGGGTAGTACTCACTGGACGTGTCAAGGTCGGGAGGAGGGATGTTGTAACTGCGACGCCACTCCAGGACCTTCTCGGCTCCGTGCTTCTCCACAGTTGATTGTTTGTCCAGACCCGTGAGCGCACCATAGTGGCGCTCATTCAGACGCCACATTTTGTGCACGGGGATCCACATCTGGTCAGTCTGTTCGAGCACGTGCCACAGCGTACGGATGGCACGCTTGAGATACGACGTATAGGCAACGTCAAAAGTATAGCCCTCCTTCTTGAGCAACTGACCAGCGGCTACTGCCTCCGTGTTGCCCATTTCTGAGAGCTGCACGTCGTACCAGCCAGTGAACAAGTTCTTCTTGTTCCACTCACTCTCGCCGTGACGGATGAGCACCAACGTGTGTGTGTGCTTCATGGCCTTTTGCTGCTGGTGTAGCATGTTCATGGAGCGTGTGGCCATGCGGGAAGACGTGACAAGGGAGCGGCTTAAAGCGAAGACCATCGTAAGAGACTTGAGGGGAACGACGCAGCTTGTTTTCTGCTTGGGGTCAGTGTCATTGGTGGTTTATGCTTGACCATTGGATCGAATGCTAATGAAAGGCTATGAGGCTACACGTAATAATCATTGCTCTAATATCAAACGAAAAACCCATTACGTTTCGTTGTTAACACGCCCCCTCATCATCACACTTCTGAGAGATCTAAGGAACGGTCGATTTTATAGCATGCAGGTAGTTGCGCTCCATAGCGGCCAAAGAGGAAAGCTGCAAGCTACAGAAGGATACACAATGTGCGAGCTATTGACTGACTAAATCTCCTCTTGCGATTTCCGCACAATACGACGGCAATGTTTCTTGAAGCCTTCCTTGTCGTTTCGCCACTCCACCTGATCCATTAGATACATCGTTAGTCCAAACTTACGCAGCTTACTTGAATATTCCAATGCCAACGCACCGCAGCATCAATATTGGCGGGCGATTCATCATTCGGGTCTGAAAGCATGGAGATAACCGACACTAAGATAGACTCGACACCAAGAATTGGACGCCATCGTTCGTCTGCCGTCTCCTGTTGGTTCAAATGATCTTCTCCAGGCGGGTGCAGGATCGAGATGCACACGACGCCATTCGGGTACACTATATCACAACAGCAGCATTTAATCATCCAGTCACTTACTTTCCTGTATCGACACTTGATCTCTTTTACAAAACCGACCGTTGGGGTGCCACATCTCCGATTTAAACGTCATCTTGGGTGGCATGTTTGGGAAATCAGCGGGGAATTCAAGCACCGCTTTAAAGAAGGCTCCCTCGTACAGCGTGTCAGGTGGACCCACCAGCAAGATCTCCCAGTTAAAGATATTGTCGTCATCACCTAGACCCACAGACACACCTTCGGGCGGGTTTCGGCTCATTTCTAAGTGTTTCAAAGATCCACATGAAAACGAATTAGTCATCTTAATTTGAGCATTATATTGTGCAAGCCACTAAGAGGAAGAGCAAGGAAATCTGCATATCAAGCAACTAAAATACAGGGATTATTACTATGTACCTAGAAACTGCCTCCGCAAAAGCTCTTTCGCATAATCCGACGCGCCTGCCATGACCTTCTTACGCTTTTATACGATTCTGATCGTTCCCCTCAAAGAAACGTGTTATGATTGGCTAAAATAGAAAGATACAATTATCGACCAATCTAACGTTTACACAACAGCTTCAAGTGTGTGTGGTATTTCTTATTATACAGTATACAAGTAATGATGACAATAAAGTTTCATCGTTTACCGTCGATCCGAATCTCGGATAATGCGTTAATTGTACTAGTCTCGACAATAGCTGAAGCGGCAATTATACCCTTGGCCACCACTTTTTCGCGCTCAATTCGTGAAGCCGCGTTAAAGCCGTAAACGCCGATGATTACGAGAACCATTCCGCTCCAGTTGAGTGGGGTCACATTCTCTCCATAGTGATAAATGGACAGCAAAATAAGCACGGCTCGCTTGACGCAATTAACTACACTGTGTGTTACTGGCGACACCATACTCATGAGCGCGTATGCAAATGCGCTCTGGATATAGAAGGACGTGCCGTCCAGGACTAGCACAAGAAAAACAAAAGCTGCAGAGCAATTGGTCTCGTTGGATTCACGAATTGGATCAGGCGGAGTCGCCAGCCAGTTGTAGACAATGAACACAAGCTGCATGACCACTGCGATCAGGCTAGTATAGAGCTGCAATTGCGAGGTCCTACAATACACCGGCGGATATACGTACACTCTTATCAGTCATCCACCCATAACCTAGAGCAAACAACATAGACTTACGAGTATGAGCGATTGAGAAGTCTCTTGGTCAAGACGTTTTGGATGCAGTCGACGCAATTGGACATAAGCGCTGCAAGAAACCCGATGACGTGGAAGGAACTATCCGAAAGACTACAGAAGATCAGTCCCGTCACGATTGGAAGAAGTGAAAAATTGACTTTCCACGTCGTGCGTTGACCCAGCAAAAAGTAGGTCAACAAAACGGTGAAGAATGGCGCGGATGACTTGATCGTTTCTATACAAATTCAACCCCATTGACAACAGCAGAGATGCACATAACGTTACAACAGTGTCCCCTTCAGCAAGCAGCACACAATACACTTTTCACGAACGTGTAAAGGAGACGGCAATGTACTTGAGCGCAGTAAGTCCAAGCAGCACTGTAAGGACGCGCACACCAGCGAGCAGTACCATGTCTTTAAGTCCATTGTCCAGCACCTGGCGCAAGCCGCGCTTGCATATTGTCCATCCCACCAGGTAGAGCTCCGAGCTCAGTCCTCCAGCAACTGACATACTTAATTGGGTAAGCGAGAGCAAGTTTGAGTCCACACGCAGCTTGGCCACTACGTAGCGATTGGTCCAGAGCGTCAAGAGACTGGTCATGTACCAGCCTGCATTCAAAGGAAAAAGAGTACATCAGTACAACAATGTCAATATGGATACAAAATGTAAAGTGACGCACCGATAATACAGATGGCGATTTTACTCTCGGTACTTCGCAATGGGACGACGGTTTTCTTGCCGTGGAGCTCGCCCATTGCAAACGTTTAGTGAAGCCGCTGGGCAATAATGAAACACATAGAGACTGAACTTTACCAGCTGGCGAGATTTGATTGGATATTGTGGCGAAGCTTGAATCCTTTTTGACGAATCAAAATTGACAGGCTCGTATGTTTCATGTCCCTCAGGGTCATGAGGCAAATACTACTACTACGGTGGAAGCAATAGTAGTATTATAACAGTAGTACTACTACTACAGTAGGAGGACTACTACACCTGATGTACTACTACAGTAGCAGTACTACTATTGGAGCGGAAGCGTTTATGAACATAATATAATAGCATGGAAGAAAAGTAGTTGCTTTGGCCCAAGATGGCATGATGCATGTACCTCTAACAGTGTACACTGTCGGCGACGGATCCAAAAGCGCAACCGCAAGACAAACGAATTACTGACAAAGGACAAAGTGAAAAAAGAGAAGCAAACGAATAAGAGAAGTGACGACGTAATGACGAGGAACAAACTCAATGCTCAAAACTAACACAAAATATGTGAAAGAGCTCCACGAAAGCCATCAAGTGAAACTGTAGCCTGTATACTTTATAGGCGCTTATGCGCTGGACAAAGAGAGAAGAGAAAACCATATTTGGCTTACTTAGCCGATCGGGTAAAAATTGCCATCGTCGTCAATAAGTCGTTTGATACGTTCTCATGTGAATTTATCGTGACAGTTTTGCCTATTTGTCATCCTGCAGATTTTGTCGTTTAGGTGACTGTGTTAGGCAGATGTCGTGGTCGTCGTGGTCTTTGGTCGCAGTAAGCGGCATATAACAACGCTAAAAATGTTAATGCTGAGTCTCTGTCGCTACTCGAGAATTGACAAATTGCACCAGCCATATTAATCAAGACATTTAACTAACTCGAGTCTTACTGTTTTACAACTACTTCACAACGTAAAAAAACACTTTTTGAGTAATGTTATTTTTGTCATGCGTCCCAAACTAAAAGCAACATGACCCCAAAATTAACAGTCATTAAGTACGTTTGTTTGGTATCATCTCGAGGGAGAACGAAAGAAAAAAAATTGATCGGAATGGCGCAATGGAGACGCTTTGCTTTCTTTGACAAGGAGGTGCTCAAGGATGCAAGTGGTCCATGGATGAAGGTATTGTTTTTCTCTATCTAATGCTATATAACACTACCTTTGAACGCTATCTTTGACACTTGTGATCATTTGTCATCACAGGGCGTAGACATCACCAGTATGAGCGCCAATCGGGGCCTCATCTGTGTGGGAGACGCTGACGGCTTCGTCCACTTGGCCAATCGCTCTCTGGATCCCTGCAGGTTCCAGGCACACGAACTGTTTGTGTCACACGTTGTCATGGTGCGTTGGTACTTATTTCATTGCACAACTGCAGCTTTGCACTAGTTCATGCTATTCTTATGGCTGTAATCTGCTTTATTATACTACCAATAGATGAAGCGGAGTAACGTACTGGTTACGATTGGTGATGGTATTGACCCGCGGTCGGAAGAGTTGCGAGAACAGTCTAAAGCCATCGCAGAAGCAGGTCGTACGCCAAATGCAGAAGATGTGCGTGCAATTAAGACCAATAATTTTTGACATTGTGTTGAGCGAGAGCTGATAGAAGCGATACTGCAGATGTACGCGGCCAAGCCAACGGAGAAAAGCACAGCAGTGGCGCGATTTTGGCGCACAGATCAGCAGGACAGAGAAGGCAAACCCAAGCTGCTACAGCAGATCCCTATTTTTGTGAAGAAATACCCGGAAGAAGCTGTGACCGCGTTTGCAGTGAATGATGACTTGAGCCAGTTTGCGGTAGGATTGAAGAACGGCGCTGTGATTTTGTTCCGAAGCGACTTAAAACGACGTACTGATCGTCCACCGATTCTGGTGCAGCCTGCTGGGCAGTACCCTGTCACTGGATTATCATTCGCCAGCAAACCAGTTACCGCCACAGTGGCGCATATATTTTTGTATGCGTCTACGCGACGTGGATTAACGTGTTACCACTGTTCTCACGATGATCCTGCGCTGGTAAAGTGTGTCGGTGGTGCTGCAGCTCTTCCACCACGCATGACTGTTTTGGACGAACGTGGTGTGGATATGAACTGCTCATGTGTGAACGAGGAAGGAGAAATCGCTGTCGGGCAGACTGATGCCGTGTATTTTTACACTACTGAAGACCGCTCGGTGTGTTTTGGTTTTGAAGGCGAGAAGAAGTATCTGTGTTTCTTTAAGCACTATCTGCTGGTCGCTCACGTAGACCCGCGCGGGCGGCATCAGGTGAACGTGTACGATCTGCAAAACAAGTTTATCGCATTTAACTGGACGCTTACCAGTACAAATCCCATGGGCTCTAAGCGCAAGCCGTCACTTGCATCAAACGCTCGCACACCCGGTGCCCGTTTTGGGCTGGATGAGATGGAAGAAGTTCGTCATGTGGTTTGCGAGTTCGGTGCGATCTTTGTGGTATCTTCAATGGGGCATGTGTACCGTCTGTGTGAGAAGGATACGACTTCCAAGCTGGAAATATTGTTCCGCAAGAATCTATACTCGATTGCTATTTCCCTGGCCTTCAGCTCGAACTACGACGTTAACAGTATCATCGATATCTTTCGCATGTACGGAGATCACCTGTATCATAAGGGGGACTACGACGGGTCTTTGCGTCAATATGTTCGGACAATTGGACACGTGGAACCATCCTACGTGATTCGTCGCTTCCTGGATGCACAGCGCATCCATAATCTTACGGCCTACCTTGAGGCTCTTCACGAGAAAGCGTTTGCGAATGCAGAACACACGACACTTCTTCTGAACTGTTACACAAAGATCAAGGATGTGAAGAAGCTGGATAAATTCATACAACTAGACGAGGTGATCGATGCCAAGAAGACAAATGGCACAAAAAGTGATAACGATTCCGGTGAGTTGACAGCCAGGAACGGTAACGCGGCTGCTAATCTGAATTTCGACGTTGAGACTGCAATTAGTGTACTTTGGGAAAATTATCCGCAGCATGCGCTGACGCTGGCGAAGAAACATGAAGAACACAGTTGGTACTTGAAGATTCAGCTAGGCCACATCAGTTATGTTGATTCGGAGGACTCGGCCGCGCTATCTGAGAGCGAAAAAGAACGAGTGGCCGATGCGCTTGAGTACATTGAGCATCTCAGCTTTTCGGAAGCTGACCCGAATATGCGAAAGTATGGACGCACTCTGGTTACTCACATGCCTGGACCTGCAACGGAGCTGCTGAAGCGTCTTTGCACGGGTAAGTTCGTTCCAGAGAACCCGTCGCTGAAATCGGACCCGGGCGACTTTTTGCACTTGTTTGTATCCCATCGTACACAGCTCAAAGAATTCTTGCAGTATATCGTTGAGGTGGAGACGGTGAGCAATACATCGATCGGTAACACGCTGCTGGAAATGGTCCTCAGTGACGATGACGAGGGTGAAAATTCTTCCCGCTCGGTTGAGGAGAAAGAAGAGGCAGTGCTTCGCATTCTTGATAACCCGCGCGTGAAGTATGATGAGGATCACGCTCTAATTCATTTACAAATGCGCAGCATGAAGAAGGGTAAGCGCTATCTGTACAACAAGCTGCACATGTACCATATGCTAGTGCAATTCCACATCGAAGAGAATGACGATCAGAGCATTGTGGAGGAGGTGCGCAAACACGGCGACAAGGATCCGAATCTGTGGTCATTGGCATTGAAGTACTTTGCAGAACGAGGGCCATTGCCGAAGGGTGCTACAAGTGGTGAGGAGTGGAAGGAGCTGAAGCAGTTGCTTGTGCTAATCGACACGAATCCGGCAATCCCACCTCTTCAAGTTGTGCAGGTGTTGAGCCAGTCACGTGAACTACCCGTATCAGTAATTAAGCAGTACGTGGTCAATCAGCTGGCTAGTGACAAGAAGAAGATCGAGGAAGATGAAGAAAAGATCAAGGCGTTCAAAGGCGACACGAAGCAAATGAAGGAGGAGTTGTCGCAGCTGAGCAGTCGTGCTGTGGTGTTCCAGGCAACGAAGTGCGATCTGTGCAATCACGATTTGGATCTACCTGCGGTGCACTTTATGTGCCAACATAGCTTCCACCTCAACTGCATTTCTGAGACGGATCGAGAGTGTCTCACATGCTCTATGGACCATCGCCACATCTTGGGACTCAAAACGCAACTCGAGCAAAAGGCTGGCAACCACGAGCAATTCTATAATCAGCTCGAGACTGCAGCGGATGGTTTCCACACCATTGCAGAGTACTTTGGCAAGGGCATTTTCAAGAGTAACGAAGTCGTATTGGACGAGGGCTCGTTTGAGACGCGCTTTAGCGCTGAGTTTTAGTTGCATAAACTCAGCTACTCTTTTGGTGTTTGTTATTCCACGCAGTGTCTTGTTTCAATATGTTGCTTGGTCATTATTGCGAGAAGCACACGTCTCCACCGAATCACTGTAATCGGATGCAGCAGCACCTTTTGTCTGTACATGGCGGAACGTCTATACATATTGATGTGCAAGATCTTGCCGTGTATATTTATTACCGGACCGTCGTCCTCGTCGCTACTTTTATTTTCTCATATTTTCGCAATGCTCATTGACTGACTGGCTGCTAGTAGTAAGTAGTACATCGAGTCAACCGTAACCGATTTGGGTGGCTTATCCGTTTGAAGTTGAAGTTATTGGCGATTATAAGACGTCCATTGTTAAAGTCGTTGATATATTCTCAGTATATACCGGTAGTACCCGGGATATATATATTAACGACTTTAACAACTACCGCGTTATTTATTTATTAGCACGAATATAAAAAACGTCATGGCTACAGTATCCGATGTTGAAGCTACAGTCGATCGGTTGCAAGCCAACGTACTGAACAAGACAGAAGATTGAACTTATCCATGCACTATTGAGACAATTTTAACAGCCAATTCAACGTTAAAAAATCGACCTTTTAGCTAACGAAGCAGTATCATTAGAATTCAGAACGTTGAGGACTATACACAGCAAGAAAATCCTTGCTTTGTGTGACAGTGTTGAATGATCGCAGCGGACTTGTGACGCGCTGACGAGTGCGGTTGAATCTAGCCAATGAGCGCGCGTTGGTCGCGTGCAACGCAGGGGCCTGTGACGCGTCGATATCATTGTACCTGCTTCCGCCTTACAATCGTCCAATCATTCATCTCCCAAGTGAAAAAAGAACATATTCCTGTGAAGTATAATACTCTGACCGCGGCTTTGTTCTCTGAATCATGCGAGGCTTACACCTTATTGGAGAACAATCAATACCCTTGTAAAGTCGATTACTGTAGCTGCTCGACTGTATTCTGCGAACTCGCTCGCATGCAGTAAATCGCGACAAGTACAAGTGAGCTCAGTTTCCAATTTACGCCGTTTACAACACGTCAAATCAAAGTATTTCAACTACCATGCTCGAGCAGCTCAAGTACATGATCACTCGCCCCACGACCGACAAGACGCCCTCCGAGCAATACCTTAATGGCATGTCGCCTCAGTCCCAACTGAAGAAGACGGACGTTTCCACTGCCTTTGAGCGCTCCGGCTGGGTGTACATTTAAACAAAAGGGCCACCTGTTAAACTCAACGCACCCAAGCGTGGATATTTGGGACGGATCGAGAAGCTATGGACGAACACAAGATGGGAAGTTTGTCGTGTGCATTTGGTGTAGCTTCATTCCACGAAACTACAGGTCCTATTCATTATTTATGTGTGACAAGCATTAGCGTGAGTGTACTTTAATCAAAAAGTTGCAATTTTTTCAGTGCTACCTTTGAAAGTTTGTGACGGTGTGCTATACTACTTTGTCATCAATTCACTGTTCAAAAGAATGTGCACGTTTTCCTTGAAGTCTATCTCTTGATGTCTATAATGCGAGGCTGTAATATGTTTTGCACTTCGCTACTTTTAATTGCGTGTTCCCTAACATATAAGCAAATTAAACTTAGACAGTGTGAAGCACGTGTCCAGATTAAAAGAATCGTCTGAAGCCCGTCAACTTTGGGTATACAAGCATAGCTTTCAGTGTACGCAAACATGATGCCAGCTAGAAGAATATCCGAGTCTGCCACCATGCTCAGCAATGCATTTGTATTTGTTTGTCACAATTTTAGGTAAGTGAATCATATAATGACTTTGAATCAACTTGAACCCACACGCTAAGAAGCACGACAGTATGAATGAGACAGCAAGACTTACATCATAAGCACGACAGTATGAAAGAGGTAACAAGACTATATCGATATAATACTACATCATATCAGTTGGTATAAGGTTCGAGTCAGAATCTGTAGATCGTATAACAAATTCCAAATTCCAAATTCCAAATACTGCCAGCAAGTGATCTCCGTTATCTAATGCTGCCAATGTTTCGATTGCATTTAACAAATTGTGAATATAGCTGCTACTATACATCACTCTCTCTTCTCCTCACCGACAATCTTTGCATTTGCGCCGCCATGGACAGGAAGTGGCGGTTGAATTGCATCGCGTCCTACTTCGACACTCCAATTGGGCATTAACGGGTCCAAACTCGCATACATCGACAGCTCTTGAATACCTGCCTGTACCGATGCAAGCTCTTCTCGGATTTTCTGCACATTCGTGAGGTTCTTATTGGCATGAAAATTCGTCTTGATATCGCGGATTATCGACTCACGCTTGATGCTTGGGTAGCGTTGCGCCAGCTTGAGGATACGTCGGTACATTCGTAGCACCTCCGTCATTTGTTTCTTGTGTGTGTCACACAAACACGAAACAGAGAATGTCAAGCAGCTTTTCATTGGCTGAAATTGTCAAAGTCGAAACTACAACGTCACATCGGTATTTACAGAGACTTTGCCGCCGACGTTCCCACTTGATCTCACTCTGACACGGTATCCAGCCGTTCTCGCCACATTTTACCTCTTATTTCGTGTTCTCTGTCATTTCCTGTATCTAAATCTGCTATATATATACGTAAATCTATTTAATTCGTTGCCTACCACCCACAAACATGAGGTGCGTTTTTGCATCTCGAATGAAATTTGCAGACGATAAAAAAGCATTCTGACGTCTATTTTATCGGTAAAGTACAGAAATAATAGTTTTCGAAACAATAACGAGGGCGGATCTAAACGTCGTGGACCACGTCGAGAGCAGGTGCGACGTTTTGAACGGAATGGACGATCTGGACGTGGATATTGTGATACTGACTGTGCAACTTATTGTTTACAGAAGAAGAATATGGACTACGAGACACGTGTTACCCGCAACGGAGTATCTGCTAATCATCTGTTAAATTTTTCGATGCCTGAACGTGAAAGAACTGTGCATCATTACCAAAAGAAGAAGAAAAGTTTAGCACCTCGTACTCAAACGGAATATCTTCATGCCAAGTATGTCCTATGTACGCGGATTCAATTGTAAGAAAATGCCTAGCTAATAATGATTGTTTGTGGATGTACTTGGTTGGTTAGCTACCGCTTTGTAATTGCACCACTTGATCCGGATGCCGTCGTGCCAACGTGGGATCTTGAAGCTCTCACCGAATGTAAGCTGCACGGCAAGACGTTAGATTTTTTGCATACAAGCACTGACGTTATATTGATTTAATTGTAGGGTCCTTCGTTGAGCAGGTGCTACTGTGGTATGACGCTGAAAGCCCACATACCTGTCCGATCTGCATGGACCATTATCGTGCCCCTAAAATCACAAAATGTGGCCACATTTTCTGGTGCGCATTTTGTTGCAACGTCTATACAGTGTAAGGATACAGTCTTCTTATGATTTCTGCCTTTTTGTGTCAATTTAGCTGGCCGTGTATACTCCGCTATCTGTCGATGACGGAGAAGTATTGGCGTCGCTGCCCGATGTGCTTTGAATCTGTTCAGAAAGGACATCTGCGCAGTGTGCAGTTTCAGCTTCAAATCCCTCCTCATGTGGGTTCCGACGTAATCTTTCAATTCCTGGAGCGCCCAAAGTCTAGCATGTTTCCCCAGCGTCGTGTACTCCCTTTCGCTACCGACAAAGCTGGACACGCTGAAGTAGATTTTTCATCGCGCTTAGAGGTTGCTGCTTTTGCCGATCGTAAGCGCTCTCGGAAGTTGCCTAGCGTAAATGATGTCGACGCAGCGTTTTCTCGTATCTTGGAAGCTACGCCTGAATATCTACAGGAACTATTGCACTCGGAGATGCGCGATCTTCAGTCCATGGACGCTGAGTTTCGCAGCAGCGGCGACCTGGACAACCTTCCTTTTGTGGAAGAGGCCATGCGAAATACTTCAGGGCGGCTCACCAAGAGTGACGATTTTAGCCGTGGCACATATGGATCCTTTTCTGCGAACGGCACCGCCGTTACAGCGAAGGAAAAACCGCATGAAACCGAAAGTGGTGACGCATATTCATTCTACCAGATCGCTAACGGGACCTATGTGATTCTTCACCCGTTGAATATGAAGTGTCTGCTGAAGGAGTTCTCGGGTGAGCATCAGCAGGAGCAAGATGGCGAACGTACGGTGGACGCACACCAACAGGAACTAGAAACGGCATGGACTCAAGAGGCAGCTACTTTGGAGCCGCTGCCTGTTAATCGCTACCGTTTGCTTCCTGAACAAATTAAAGGACGTGTTTTGGATATTGAGCACGTGGTCATGGACGAAGAAGCACAAAAGCGGTATCGTTTCTTGAATCATCTGCCACGGTTTTGTGATTTTTACGTGTGTGAGCTCGATTTGACGTCTCAGCTCTCGCCGTCGACGCTTACTTTGTTCCGCAACGAACTCAAGAAGCGCTCCAAGCAGCGGAAGCACAAGCTCAAGCTGCAAAACGCAAGGACTCCTTCATCTCCAATTTATAAGAGTAATGCGTCGACATTCTCCCTCGAACAGGAAGGGACCATGTGGCCATCCCCTTACGAGCAAGCGCTGGCCGATTCTCTAGAGGAGTTCACCCTCAGCAATTTATCGAGTACTGAACGTGAAGTTGAAGTCCATACAGCGGCGCACACAGCGGCGCACGAGAAGCAGTCGTTTGCTGGAGTGACGAAAAACTCTGGGTATTTCCCAGCACTTGGACGTGGTGAAGTAAGTGAGGCCAGGCCTCTTATTACAGATCCGAATGAGTTTGGTCTGCCATCTGCATGGGGAAATCCATCGACCAGTCAAGCTCCAGAGGCGTGGGGATCCAGCAAAGACGGCAAGAAAAAAGGAGCAAGTAAGAAAGGCGTTTCATTGTTTTCGACGACGCAGCGCCGTTCATATCGTTGAGTCATGACTGCATAGAAAATAATTAAATCGATGACCGCTCACTTTTGTACCTCGATCAATCGTTGACATCGCTTTGAATTTATTCTCTGTTCCTTGCTCTTTCAAAGGCAAGTGCGACATCAGCCTAAAGATCACTCTCATCTTGCAACTTTTTAGTCTCGCAAAAGCCACAGCCTTTATGCCCAACCATAAGACCTTCTACTGCGATGACAAAGATCACCATCATTCACTACTCAACGTATGATCATATCGCCAAGATGACCGAATCCATTAAGTTCGGTGTCGAGACTGTGGCCGACGTCACGCAGAGATTTACCAAATCCAAGAGACTTTTTTCGACGAAATTCTAAGCCAAAATGCACGCTTCATTATATAGAAGGACCACCCTATTGCTACGCTGACATCCTCAAACTGGCGATCGTAGCCCTTTGCTCTTCAATATGGACGTGGCTTATGGTAAGAATCCTCGGGAAACCGGTACTTTAGCTGGTGGATATGGATTACGTCAACTTAGTCAGTTTCTTGCTAACCAGCCCCCCAGATTTATGATAATTTGATCGATCAGAATGCCAAATCGGAACAAAATCATACCTTAAAAAGTCGGGTTCTAAATTTGGCCTTTCTAATCTACTGTTTTACATTCACTACTGTTGCTGGTGATGCATCACTTTTTTACTTAAGAACACGCTATACATTCTGACCAATCAGATTTTTACAGAGCTACGATAGTGGGGGATGAATAGCGCCTTTGCTCCCAAAACTCGACTAGTCATTTACAACCAGCCAATCAAAATAAAAAGAATCAATGAATGGAATCGGATGCTATTTATTCGACGCTTTCTATACTGTAGCAACTTCAACAAATGATTTACCCTAGACCCTAAGTGGGGGATGAATAGCTTGGGATTGTGCAAAATAGTCTGCGTCGTTTCGCGTTCCTGCCATCAGCTGAGACTGTGATGCTCTTCAACTCGATGGGCTACATACTCATGACTTTCGCGTTCATTCTCATTGTTTTTCTCTGCATACGCAAGTTTCTCTTTTTGCTCACATGGCGCAGCTTTCGTGACGGTCCGTACGTCATTGGACAGCATCAGTGGCGACCAGGAAACTTGGCGGGGTGTGTAAAATCTTCCACGAAGCTAGATGGTCTGTGTCCAATACAATAACTTGTATATACAGCTAACCATTACACTGCGTTTATTATTCATAGTCCACAATGGTGCAACGTGTGCCACACCATCGTCTACGGCATCCGCAGCTACGTGGTCACGTGCGACATCTGCGGCATGTACGCGCACGCGCATTGTGCGATCTCTACGATACGCTTCAAGGGCATAAATGGTCCCATTTCAACTTCTGCTACTGGTGATGACCCTTTATTTCCATTTACGTCATCCTGTGCCTGTAGAGCACCTGGAGTACTGTTGCCACACGCGACAGTTGCTTTGGACGACAAAGAAGCAGAACTCCCGCTTGTGTCGACGCCGCAACACCACATGTGGATCAAGGGCAATATCGACCCGACGGACTTGTGCTCATTGTGCGGCCTTTTCTGTGGAAGTATCTTGGCACTCTCAGGACTCAAGTGTTCATGGTGTCATGTACGAGTGCACGAGGAATGTTTCCAGCAGGCCTTCGCCCGTACACATCGACCGCAGCTGCTACGACGTTGCACTTTGGGTCGGCATGCAAACCTCATCTTACCTCCGTCGTGTGTCGTATTGCGTGAATTTGGCTCGGTTGCTAGCAAGTCGCAGCGAGCAATTAATACGGTACGTAGTGCAGCGCATATCGCAGTGACGACAATGTCCAAAATTCGACTTCGACGGCGACTTGCCAACGACGCAAAACCGCCACCAACTTCACTAACAAGTAAGTTTCGAGGCGAGACTGCTAATGGATGGGAGAATGCGCTTGCGGCTGCATCGATCGTCGTGTCTGGATCTGACGGGCTACCGTATGATCTTGTTGAGCCCCCTGAGCAAACCACTCCACTCTTGGTCTTCATCAACAGTCGTAGTGGTGGCAAAATGGGGCTGCATGTTTTACGGCACATACGGAAGTGGCTCAACCCCGTCCAAGTGTATGATTTATCGCATCAAAGCCCTATTGAGCCACTGCGTCGGTTCATAGGGCTACCGCGGCTACGAATATTGGTCTGCGGTGGAGACGGAACTGTAGGTTGGATACTTGGTGCTTTAGACGAAATCAGAGCTCCGCGGCAACCACCTATCGCCGTTCTGCCGCTAGGTACTGGCAATGATTTGGCTCGGGTTTTGGGTTGGGGCGCTAGCTTCTCAGCCCCTACGGATGTGAGCGAACTCCTTAGCGAAGTTGAAGCAGCACACGTTAGTCTGCTGGATCGGTGGGAAGTAAATATCGGCAAGTCGCAAAAGCGCGTAGTTTTGAACAATTACATGGGTGTCGGGGTGGACGCTCAAGTGGCGCTCGAGTTCCATGAACAACGTGAGCGCTCGCCAAGGCTCTTTATGAATCAGTTTGTGAACAAGTTGTGGTACAGTCAGTTTGGAGCAAAGAATTTCCTTGTCCGAACGTGCGCTGGTTTGCCCGATAAAATTGTGCTCGTCTGCGATGGAAAGCTTATCACATTTCCTGAAGGAATAGAGGGTATCATCATCCTCAACATTAACAGTTATGGCGGTGGCTCCAAGCTCTGGCATGATGACGCTCAATCCGACAGGGAAGACTCGGACTCGGCTAGCGAGACGGACGATGACCGAAGCCGGACAAGCAGCGTTGGCAGTCTTGACACCAGCACGCACTTCGGCCCTTCTTCCCCCCATGACGGTCTACTTGATGTTGTGGCAGTGTATGGCACGTTGCATCTTGGCCAGATGCAGGTGGGCTTGTCGAACGCCGTACGTTTATGTCAGGCCAAATCTGTGAGTCTCACTTTGAAAGAAACGCTGCCTGTGCAGATCGACGGCGAACCATGGCTGCAAAATTCTGATGAGATCGACATATCGTTTTTGCAGCAAGCGTTCATGCTTAGTCGTACTGTCGATGAACGGGATGTGGTGACGAAAAAAGTTGGTGAGGTGTTAGACTGGGCTGAACATACACACGTTATATCCTCTCGGCAGCATGATGTGTTGCTCGCCGAGATCGCTCGTCGTGCCGCGGATGGTGCTGCATCTCGACGGTCGATTCGTTCTCGTGCTCGTACTACCACTAATCCGCCACATTGACGAGAGGCACTCGATCATGGTTAACAAATTAATGTCCATTGTTTTGGTAAAGCGGGCAGCAAATAAGGCATGGCCTGGAAAGTTTTACGGACGACAAGCACAATTGTCTGCCAGACTTTTCCGTCAGAAACTACTGAGCGCTGGCTTGGTACAGAAGCATCTTCTCGATAAAATGATCAATGTCACCATCGAGTACTTGGGTGGTGTTGCCTTCTGCGTAGTTTGTGCGATGATCTTTCACTAGCTGGTACGGATGCAGCACGTAAGATCGAATCTGGTTGCCCCAGGCATTGTCTCCAAGTCCTTGAACAAATTTCCGTTTTACACGCATGTCTTCGTCAAGTTTACGCTGATAAAGCTTAGCTCGGAGCATGGCCAGCGCTTCAGCCTTGTTACGATGCTGTGATCGGTCCGATTGGCTCTGCACCACAATTCCCGTGGGCAAGTGTGTGATACGGATAGCACTATCTGTCGAGTTCACATGCTGACCACCAGGCCCCGACGACCGAAACGTGTCAATTCGTAAATTTTTGGTTGAGATGTCGACTTTCTCGTTTAAACATCCTTCGCCAGCCACGGGGTACACGCGCACTTGAGAAAATGACGTGTGTCTCCTTCCAGCGCTGTCAAACGGCGAGATGCGCACAAGTCGGTGCACACCAGCCTCATTCTTTGCCCAACCATAGGCGTATGCACCTTCCATCCGCAATACCACAGACCGAAAGCCCGCTTCATCCCCCACAGATTCGTCAACATGCTGCACTTGGAAACCACGCGCTTCACCCCACCGTGAATACATTCTCGCCAATATCGCTGTCCAGTCGCAGCTATCGGTACCGCCAGCACCCGCTTGAATCTCTAGGAAACATGAGCGAGCATCACTCTCATGTGACAGCAACAGTTCCAATCGTAGTTGCTGCGCATCCGTACGCACTAAAGTCATAGCACTCATACAATCCAAAAGCACGGAATCATCCTTCTCCTCCGCTGCCAATGCATGCAGCTCCTTGGTGTCTAAAAACCGGCGGTGCAATTCACAAGTTCGAGTTTCCCGAGATTCCAATGCAGCTAGTCGATGCACGACCGACGCAGCGTTCGCAGGATTGTCCCAAAGCTTTGGATCGGCGGCTTCTTTGCGCAGCTGAGTGAGTTCTTGCTTGACATGAGCGTTTACTACCACATTGTGGATTAGAGCAATCTCCGCTTGCACTTGTTCAGCCAAAGAGGCAAAAGATTTGTCGGATTTAGAAGCGTTAGTGGATGAAAACCATCGGACAGGAGCATTGATGAAAGAAAGAGTCGATGACTTTGATTGAGTGGAACGAGAGAAGGAGGGGTGTAAAGAGACCCAAGCTCCAGCTGCAACAAGGACAAGTGCTTGTTGATTACGACATGCCACTCGGATACTAGACGGATGCTTGATAGCTGCGCAGGAGACTGCAATGAAAGAAGATCTAAACAGGAAGCGATTGAGCATTGAGCCGTTCAATGATACAGTCAGTGGCTTTCAATATTACTATTATCAAGTAACACTATCGAGTTATTCTATGTAACACTTTTTTTTCCAACAAACACAACAGCAAAACACAGCGAATACTATACGCAAGATATTAATTATTTGTGTATCGCTATGCTAGACTATTATTTCTCTCTTCTACATTTCAGAAGATATTTGGCCACCAGCCAATCGTCGTCCTACCCTGCTGTGATCGTCTTGTTCTTTGGGCTCCACCCGGGGCATAAACGAGCTCAGTAAGAAGATCGGGTATTGTTCCTGTAGACGGGCACAAGCGTAGTCGTTGCAAAATCGTGGCAGTCGGCCGACCCCTTCAGTTAAACAGCAGTCTCTATCCTGGGATGGTGTAGTTGTTCGCTTGCCATGATGCAAGCTGTAGAGAGGAAGTCGGCGGCACTGTCCAATCAATCGCTCAACTGATCCTCGAACGCCTTCCTAAGTCGTCAGCCGTTTCCTCAACTGTAACTTCAACCGTGCCTTTTTCTAACACTCCTCCTCGGCTACGACTTACCGTCCTAACCTAGGCTGATCATCTCACACAGCGCCGCGAGCTTGACTGCATCTAGCGCCTTCGTCAAAAGATCCGCTAGTTGTTGCTCCGAGCGGACGTACTGCGACACGATGATCCCGCGTCGAGCGAAGTCGCACACGAACTTCGTGCGAACATCGATGTGCTTGGCCTTTAGAGATGACGCCTCGCCTGCCAGCTGCTTCAGTGCCGCCTGATTGTCGACGTGGAGTACCATCGGTAGCGCCGGCGGCTTACCGATCTCGGTTAGCATCTCCCTGATACCAAGAAGCTCGCGCGCCTGCTCCGATGCAGCGAAGAACTCCGCTTCCATCGTCGAGAGCGAGACGCCGCCTTGCTTCTTCGACGTCCAGCTGACCGGCATGCCGTTCAGGCGGATGATGCCGCCAGTCAAGGACTTTCTGTCACTCTTTTCCGCCGCAAAATCGGCGTCCGAGTACGCCTCGAGCTGGATCTTGCCGTCGAGGTGCTTCGCTGGTTCCATCCGAAGCTTGTAGTCCCGCGTCCCCTTCAGGTACCGCGCGATGCGTTTGGCAAGCTTCATATCGTGGAGTCGCGACTGATGAGTCTGACGCGTCGCCTTGTGCACGGCGAACGCAATGTCCGGCCGTGTGCAACGCGCGATCCACAGAAGACTGCCGACGAGGGACTGGAACGTCTTGATTGTTGGCGCCTTCTGCACCTTAGTCTCGGTGAGCAGCGCGCTGTCATCTGGTAGCACGTCGTAGCAGTCAGCCCCAATTGGTGCTTTCGTCGGGTTTGCATCCTCGAGCCCATGCTCACGCAGGAGCTCGCCGATCGCCTCGGCCTGGTCAAGCACGTAGCCGCCACTGTTATCAATCGTGACACGCATGCCGAGGAACTTGCTAACGGTGCCGAGGTCCTTGATCGACAAGCTGCCGAGCTTGACGAAGAATCGGTCGACGGCTGCAGCGTCCGTGCCGGTAGCAAGTAGATCGTCGACGTAGACGCCCACGATGACCAACTATCCACCCTCGACTTGGTAGTATAGACACATGTCGGAAATACATTGCCGGAAGCCGGCTTCGAGCAGTCGAGCGTGCAGGAGCTGGCTCCAGAGTCGGCCAGCCTGCTTGAGGCCGTACAGGCTCTTTCGTAGCTGCAGCACTACTTCCTTCTTTGTCGCTGCGCCTACCATCTTGAGCGCGTCTTGATCGATTGTCATTGCCTGCGGCACCTGGAGTAGTATTTCCAAGTGCGCTTCCTTGTCAGCCTTGACATACGCGTTGGGGATGTCGCCATGCTTTGCTGGGACACCCCATATCGCCGCAAGCGCCAAGATCACCTTCACGGTCGACATGTCCATGACAGCCGCAAATGTAAGCTGGTATTCGACCCCAAAAACTTGCTCGTTGCCGCAGGCGACCAGTCGAGCCTTCAAGCGCTCTATCTCACCGTGCGCGTCGGTCTTGGTCTTGAAAACCCACTTCGTGTGCAGAGTGTTGCTGCCCGGAGGTCGCTTGATCAAGCGCCACACGCCATTGTCTTCTAGGGCTTGGAGCTCTTCGCGCATGGCCTTTTCCCAGCCTTCACGCTTAGTGCTGCGTAGCGCTTCACCGTAGTTCTTGGGATCGCACTCATACACATGAGCCACCACGCTGTCGTCGCCAGCTGGCTCCTCCTGATGGGCGGCCGCATGTGCGCGTTTGGTAGCGCCGCGCGTCCGGTGAGCCGCGCGTGTCCACGACTTCGATTTCTTCTTACCGCTGCGTATCGTCGGCGATGCGGCATCGTCAGCAGCCGGCAACTCTTTGCTTGTTGTTGCTGTTGCCGCTGGCTCCACGGCTTGATCTTCATACTCGAGCGCGCGCTGCAGCTGACCATTCTGCTCTGCGCTGAGCGTCTCGACGTTGCGCACATGCTGCGTGATCGTGACCTTGTTCTCCTTTTGGAGGAAGACGCGAAAGCCCTTAGTCTCGTCGCTCCGCCCAATGATCACGCCGACTTGTGCGCGCTGCGCGAGTGAGTTCTTGCCTGGGTCACGGTAGACCGAGCAGATAGAGCCAAAGGCGACGATGTCGCGCAGATCCGGCACTTGCTTCTTCAGTACCTCGATCGGCGACGCGCGCTTCGCATTCGCGCTCGTTGGGCTGCGGTTGAGGATGTACGCCGCGTACTCAACCGCATCGCCCCAAAACGTCAATGGCAGTCGGCTGGCAAAGATCATGCTGCGCGCCATGTTCAGGATCGTCCTGTGCATGCGCTCGGCCTTGCCGTTTGACGCCTGATTCCTCGCCTCGCTGATCTGCCGCGCGACGCCCGTTCGCTTGCAGAAGAGGTCTACATTCGCGTATTCGCCGCCGCCATCAGTGCGTAGCACGTGGATCCGGCAGTCGAACTGGCGCTCAAAGAACGCGAGGAAGTGCTGAAACTTCTTGGCCGCCTTGTCCTTTGTAGGCGCCAGGAAGACGCGACAGTAGTTCGACTTATGATCGACAAAGTTGACAAGGTAACGATTGTGCAATAGATCCTTCGGGGTCATCGGACCCTTGAGGTCTGAGCAGATCACCCCGCCAACTCTGTCGATCGGCGAGTTTGATCCAGTGTCCTTCTTCGACTGCACGTTCCTTGTTTGCTTGCCCTGTGCGCAAGAGATGCACGTCGGGCGCTTGCGATCCGTTAGCACGATGCCGGACGCGGGGTCTCTCGCCATGCGCTCGACGGTGTCGTACGCGAGATGCCCAAGCCTTTGGTGGAAGTGCAGCAGCGAGCCGCTGCGTGTCCGACTCGGGTTCTTCCGGAGCTGCATGGCTCGTCAGGATCGCCATAAGCGCGTCTCTAGGCGCTCGTCGCTCGCGAGCCGCTGCAACTGTCTGGACGTAGAGCACATTGTGGTCCATCGCCACATCGAACGCGACTTGGCCATTGCTGCGTCGTGCCAACACGCGCGACTCGCCGTCGTAGACGAGCCCAAAACCCTTGATCTCGAGCTTACCGTAGGACATGATGTTGCGCGATAACTCGGGCGCCAGATACACGTCCGTCAGCGTCACATCTTGCTGCTGTCCTCTCGCGAGCACAGTCAGCACGACGCTTCCGACTTGCGTTAACTTGATGGTCTCCCCATCTGCCAAGTGGCACTCTTGATCGCAGTCCCTCGCGTCGCGCAGCAGGGTTGCGTCGTTCACAAGGTGGCGGCTGGAACCGCTATCGAGTATCCAGTCGTCATCTTCGTCATCGCTGTCGTCACCAATCGCCATCGCCAGGCTTTGACCGGTGGCGCGCGAGCCGTTGCGACCTCTTCCTTCACCAACAGCTAGCGTGATGCTGCCGCCGTCTTTTGGGCCTCTGCCCCTCTTCTTGTCGTCATTCTTCTTGCTGCGACAGTCCTTCTTTAGACGGCCGACCTTCCCACACCCGTGGCAAGTGCGTGTCTCCTTGCGCGACACGGACTCGTCCACGTGCGCGACGACCTCCTTCCCGAAGGATCTTCCTGATCTAGCTTCCATCTCGATTGCTTGCGCGAAATGCGCGAGCTCTTCCGCGTGCACGAGGTAGTCGGTGCGGTGCGTCTGGTACTTCGCCATGAGTATTGTAGACAGCTCAGACGAGGCGTAGCGCACGATGTTGTCCAGAACCTGCTGCTCAGCGTCGCTGACAGCGACCAGATACAAGTAGTGTTCTGGCCAGGATCTCTTGCTTTCTTTCTTCGCCGTGAAGAGTTTCATCGCTTGAGCGGCGGTTATCGTCGTCTTGAACGTGTCCAGCATGCGCTGCATCACGTACTGCAATGTAGGCAGCACGGCCCACCACGTGTCGACCTGCTTGCTGCAATACCGCTCGGCAGTGCCAGTGAGGTACTGCCCGAGCACGTCAGTCTTCACATTCTCGCTCCACAGGAAACCGCAAGACTCCTGTGCCATGTCGACCTGGCGCCAAAACGTCTTGCCCCAGTCGAAGAAGCCGGACCCGAGTCCAACGTACACCTCAGTGCCATCGAACTTGCGGATCGCCAGATTGCGCTGCCTGGCATCCGGAGTGCGATACTGCATCGGCATTACTTGTTGCTGCTGCTGTACTGGCTGCCCTGGAGCTGCCGGCATCGTCTGAGGCACTGGTGCCGGCTGGTATGGTGGCAATGGGGCAGGCGGCTGAGGCAACGGATCAGCACGCTGCTGCAGCTGCTCTCTCGCTCGCATCCGTAGGTCTTCGAGCCGCGCTGGTGCACGCCGCAATTGCTGCTGAGACTGCCGATCGTGCAAGTCCTCAAGCTCCATTGCGCCGCCGTGGAGTCGCCCTGCGAAGTCCGCCCCGAGCTCTGATCGGAACAGCTCGCTCTCGTGAGCGCCACGCATGCGCTCGTCTTCGTCCATGCGTGCTTGGGATGCTTCTATCTTCTGCATTCGCAAGTCCATGCCCGTGAGCATCTTGAGGACCCTCTCCAGTGCGTCAGGCTCCGGGCTCCTTGCGT